TTAATATTTTAAAATCCTTTTCCTTAACTATCGCAAAGTACTGTAGAGGCATTTTATATTAAACTAGACTTTTTATTAAGATTCCATAAACTCCTATTATTAGAAAATACTCTGTGATAGGTAGAAAGCAATGTAAAGTGAGACATTAATAATAATATCACAAAAGATATGATGGTACACAATTCTTCCAATGACAAAACAGTTTATTAAACTGACAACAGTGACAAAATTATGTCAAAAAATTCAAAATAAATGTAATCAAGCATAAAAAATGAATTGATCTGTATACACTCAAAACCAAACAACATTCAAATTGATTAGATGAGTACATTACTGTACAAATTATGTTTATCGGCAATATCCTTTGAGTTAAACGCTCTTTAAAAGTCATTATCTTTTCAATCCCTTTCTTGATTTATAGATAACAATTATAATAGATTTAATTTTAAAGTTTATCACAGAAATAATGACTTTACTTGTATAATTTAAAATTGCTTATTTAGGAAACTAAATTTCAAAATATTTTATTTTGTAAGTATTTACAACTCTACTTGAATCAACTTCAGCCAGAAATTCTTTGTAAATCTTTATAATGTCCAATAGAACAAAGAATAAAACCAAATTGAACAGCATCATTTAAAGCTTTTTTTTATACCTTAGTGAATTTAGTCATATATAAGAAAAACAATTTTTACAGCATTTATTATATAAACTTAGAATAGTTTTAAGAATAAAAACTTGTATTATTGTAGTTACATTTTAATATGGACATCATCTGACATCGAAATTAAGTGATAAAAGGTAATATAAACAAATCATTTTGGAATGCACGTTTTATTTTAAACTTTCTTTTATGAATTAACAATAGTAGGGTAACAAGAAAAATAGTGTATTCACTTATAGATTTACTTCAGGTAATGCAGAATCTGTTTGTCAGAGTTCTATTGTACATGCATTTATGGTACAGTATTATATTAATACAATCCAGTGGCATATGGTGACATTGGAGTGACTTGATATGGGAAAGCTTTGCCAGCCCTGGATAGAATCATTGGAAGCATTATACCATATTTTGGTGTGTAACATCCACGAGCTAAACCGCATAAGGTTGGTGCTCTGTAAAGTGCATGTGTATAATCTGGCTGCTTTACTCGATTCAAATATTTTTGCCGTGGAAGCTGTCTCATATTCGACAATACAGCACTTCCATTGAAATATGCATATACAAATTTATATTTGAATATACAATAGCAATCTTATCATTGTTCTTCACATGTATAGAAATTTGTAATAAGATACGTAATTAAATACAACTTCACCATAAACTGGAACTGTAATATTTGCAAATCACACCTAAATTCAAAATTTCCAGCAAATAAAAGTCAAAAACACGTATCGAACGTTTTCGGCCACTAAATTTATCGGCCTTCCTCAGGAAATACCAACTGGAAAAACCGTTCTATAAATAGAACTTAGCTGCCTTTTAAATTTTGTAAAAGAACGAAAACGGCTGTGACGTATCGTGTATGATGTATATTATGAGTCTAGATAGCATTTCTACTCTGATGATACAGGAATGACATCTGTATTGATGCAGTTTCCACTCATGCTCGCCTTGTAGATCTCTACTGCTTCTACAATTTTTATATTTTGCCTGTCGAAAACCTTGTGTATTAGCTTGGCCTGGTCCCAACGGGGAAATCCCCGGATCGCTGGCATACTGTGCTAAAGCCATACTGATGTTACCTTTTAGCATGTCACATTTGTGATCTTTTAGTCTGGCTTGCAGCGATCTGTACATGGATCCTATGTAAGCTAGTAATCTGTCAAACCTCTCGTCATAGGGAAATGTGGTAAATCCCAGGAGCCAGAGTGTCTTCATTGTCGTCCTTTGCGTTTGAGAGAAGGCGGAAAATGACGGGTTTCCTTCTATAGGCAAGGAGTATGTTTAAACTATTTGCGATCCTTCTATACGCAAATTGTTTAAACATACTAAAAAAATGTTTAAACGTACTAAAAAATAGGAATTTATGATATGTACTAATTCTTAAGGACACAAAAATTAGGACTTGCACATGGGCACAAGATACTCTAGTAGTGATGTTCAAAATAGTTTTATTCTGCTATAAGTAATAGATATGTATATATCCATGGTATGGTTTTCTTTATATTCCTTTTAAAAAAATCAATTCTTCAAAAATATTTCCTCAAAATTGATGAAACTTTATGGGTTAATTGTACAGAAATAACCACCGTTTTTTTGTCTGGACCACATTTAATCAGAGAGAAAAGCTTTTATTCGTATTCTTTATTTATTTATTTACTATGCATTTCGGGTGCAATATTTTCGTGTAATTTGCACCCCTCTTCAGGTTTTTTACATTTCTATAATTTGGTAAATTCAATTATTACAACGGTAAATTACTACAATAGTTATTTGGATATATTTATACAATAGTTAACTAACCTGTTTTATGTTATAGATCGACATCTGCCCAGTGTTGATGTTATGTCCCCTAAGGCATTTTTAGACCGTTTCCCCCTCTTTTTGTTTTCTTTCCCATTAGCTCCTCCCATTTCTTCCCACACGTTGTCAACCTCCATTCCATCATTTAGGTTTAAGGTTTTGCTTTTATTAATGATTTCGAAGTGCTCTTTGAATTTTCGTAGATAACTATCTTTTTCTTTATGGATAATTTTTATGCTTTTTTTGTTTATTGTGCATCCAAATTCCTTACAGTGATTTGTCCACAGTGAATGGTTATAATTAAGTTTAATTGCTGCTTTATGTTCTTTAATTCTGGTACCGAGTTGTCTTCCTGTTTCGCCAATGTATATTGCTGGGTTCTTGCATGTACATTTTATTTCATATATTACACCTGTTTGGTTTAGTATTTCGTTATTTTTAAACTTATTGGTGGTTAAAGAACATAAAGCAGCAATTAGACTTAATTATAACCAGTCACCATGGACAAATCACTGTAAGGAATTTGGATGCACAATAAACAAAAAAAGCATAAAAATTATCCATAAAGAAAAAGATAGTTATCTACGAAAATTCAAAGAGCACTTCAAAATCATTAATAAAAGCAAAACCACAAACCTAAATGATGGAATGGAGGTTGACAACGTGTGGGAAGAAATGGGAGGAGCTAATGGGAAAGAAAACAAAAAGAGGGGGAAACAGTCTAAAAATGCCTTAGGGGACATAACATCAACACTGGGCAGATGTCGATCTAAAACATAAAACAGGTTAGTTAACTATTGTATAAATATATCCAAATAACTATTGTAGTAATTTACCGTTGTAATAATTGAATTTACCAAATTATAGAAATGTAAAAAACCTGAAGAGGGGTGCAAATTACACGAAAATATTGCACCCGAAATGCATAGTAANAAACATAAAACAGGTTAGTTAACTATTGTATAAATATATCCAAATAACTATTGTAGTAATTTACCGTTGTAATAATTGAATTTACCAAATTATAGAAATGTAAAAAACCTGAAGAGGGGTGCAAATTACACGAAAATATTGCACCCGAAATGCATAGTAAATAAATAAATAAAGAATACGAATAAAAGCTTTTGTCTCTGATCAAATGCAGTCCAGGCAAAAAAACAGTGGTTATTTCTGTACAATTAACCCATGAAGTTTCATCAATTTTGGGGAAATATTTTTGAAAAATTAGTTTTATGCTGTGACTATACAGTGATGTCTGTTGTGTTATCATGCCTGGAAGCATTTCTGTAAGTCATTTTCCATAAGTTAGTTTAATAATATCTATAACTTGGCCTGAATTTTCTCCACTATCTGGAAGCTTTGTTCCTTCAGTTTCATTTTCAGCTGTAGGAAATTGCGAGGTGTGAGTTCTGGTGAGTAAAAGAATGAAACACCACAGCCTTTCAACTAAACAATTTTGACTGCTAACATGTTAGCAGCCAAAAGTTGTTGAGCTAAAAGGGCAATGTGTAATGCACAGGAATATTGTCATGATGGAGCAGCCATGTCTTGTTTCACCATTTGTCGGATCTCTTTCTCCTCATAATTTTCCCATAAGCACTTTAAAACCGCAACATAGAAAGCAACATTAACATAGCAAATTGATCTCCAAACTCCTTGTGAGCAATTTAATTTTGATCAAAATAAATCAACATGGAAACAGACATAGAAACAGGTTTCATCACTGTAATGAATATTAGAAAGAAATCTGGAGTCATTGGCAACCTGCTGTTCATGGTTAAAGCAAACATGAAGTTGTTGTAAGAAGTTTTGGTTACTGTAAATTTTGTTTGGCAATAAGGAGCTTTGCTGAAATCTGCTGCATGTTCAGTTTATTGTATAGAATTATGTGACAGGTTCTAAGACTAATTTCCACTATTGCATTGACTTTGCTGATGGTTCTATGGTGGTTTTCATGGATAACCCAACAAATTTTTTCAATGATTTTCAGTATTGAAATTGACTTTGGTCGGTCAGACTGTTTGTCTCATCAGCTGACATTCTGCTTTCTGTAAACTGGGGAAAACTACTCAAAATTTTGGTACATCCCATAACTTGTTCTTCAGAAACTGCATTTAATATTTCAAAGGTTTCTGTAGTCATTTTTCATAGTTTAAAACAAAATTTAATGTACATACATTGTTTATAAAAATTTTTTATGGCATAAACCTCAGACAGCAGGTTGGATATGTTTAAAATAGTTGACATAGCATTACTCCCAATACACACAGCAAATTGATCTCCAGCACATTAATTTATCAAATTGAAGTTGAGTTGTTTTGCCTGATATTCAATCATCAAACTATGTTTCATATAAATGCAGGAAATCAATCTGGGAATATAATGACTGCTTCCAATATATATAATTTTTTAGTAGATATAAGGATAGTATGTTCTCATATTTTATATTTTACCTGATATATGCAGTATATGTTAAAACTTTAATTATGACAAATATAGTGCACAAAACATTTATATGACTATCTTATAACAGACAAGTAAACTAAAAGCAGAAGCAAGAATTGAAGCGTTACGTGAAGGTGAAGGTAAAGAATTTTTATATTAACAAAATTTATGATTTTTAATTAAATATTTATATATTCAAATTTTTCTATTTTAGTAAATGTAGATGAATGGATGCGAACAGATGTTGAGGCTCTTTCTCTTTATGAGACAGGTGACAATTTGAGTCGAACAGGTACAATTTCTTCGCGTGGAAGCAGAAAAAGTTCACAATATGAGGTAATGTATAAAAATAAATAAAGTATCATTCTGAAATTAAATTCATTGAAAGTTAAATACAATCAAAACATTCTATCAAAATTTTTTAAAATGAATCTATATGTCATTTATTAATTTGACTTTAAGATAACAGATATTCCTACAATTTTCATACAACAATTTTAATTTCAGTTATCACAATCAAATATAATAAGACAATTAAAGTTAATACATAAATAAAGATAGAACAACTACAAATCAACAAATAAAATATTTTTAACTCCCCACCTGGAGGACTACCATTACACCATTGTATGAGCACCGGTGGAGCTCATACAAAAAATTTTTAAAATAATTTATAAACATTATATCTTGAGATTAGAATGTTTATAAATTATTATTTTAAATTTGTTAGTTTTGTTTTTTATGTTCAATTTCAATATAATTATTAAGTTTGTATCTAACAATGAGCAATAATAGTCTCAAAATTGTTTTATCAAGTCATCCATTGACTCTTTAAAAATTTTTGTGTGTTATGGATGATTAAAAATTATGATTTAAAAATTTTTTAATGCCTTATAATAGAAAAGAAAAACAATTACATTGATAACTAAGAAACGATTACAGCTAAAAAGACACAGTTTAAAAAGTGCATTTTACTTATTCATTTCAGCAAAATGTCGATGATGCTGCAAGTGAAGCAAATGATTCATTCTATAATAGTGATTTTACGGACGGTGGTGGTACAACAGAAACATCAACTAGTGCAGCTGGGGATACATCAGCAACTACAATAGTTGAAGGTTCTACAGTGGAGACAACACCAGCAGCATGGGATGATGCTCCTCCATCTGCTAAATGGGATGATGTTCCACCATCTGCTAAATGGGATGATGTTCCACCATCTGCTGGATGGGATGATGTTCCTCCATCTGCTGGATGGGATGATGTTCCTCCATCTGAAACAACAGATGAAGCAGAGTATCCAGAAACAGAAATGCCTGTAGAAAATGAAGTGCAATCAAGTTCTATGCTAATACGATGTGTTGCATTATTTAATTATCAGGTATTTAAATTTGATGGTAGTTCTTAATTGTTCCATTTATATTTGCCTCATATTTCACAGATTTAAACATTCTAAATTTAAAATTTTATATCATATTTTGTATTTGATTAATTAATCACTCACAAGTCAGTACTTTGAAAAATTCATTTTCTGCATTGCCAAATAAACACTGAAAATTCTGTATTATATTTAGCCTAATTAAATTGGCTTAATGATTCAAAAATTTATATAGATAATCATATCAACATTTATCAGGCTGTGAAAATTAATTAATAATTTTACTTAAACTTTTATATATCTGGAAAAACATCTGCCAAAATGGAATCAAATTTTTAATTCTTGTTTAATGAGTAAATATGTTGCCAAATTTTACAGCATATAAAATATAACTTTTTTTAAAAGAAAAGGTTCAAAAAATCACCCTGCATCTTATATGTTAAGTTGCAATCTCCCTTAGACTAATGAATTCCCCAGACTACCTTCAGTAGTTACAGGTAATTTCTAACTAGTTCAACTTTTGAATGAACATATTATTGTGTAATTAAACAAGGCCCAGATTCACAAAACACTTGTATCGTAACTTATGATAAAATTGTTATAAGTTGCCAGTTAGAAGATACATTGTATTCACAAAACACTTTGTAATTTAAGATATTGTAAGTATTCTCATAAATCCTACGATATCCAAGATGATTTCATAAACTAATACAAGCCTCACAAACAAGATGGTGAATGAGTATGCTAGACCAGCAGATGGATCATTTTTGCAGATTACTGCAATTAAACCATACTGATGTTTCTGATTTTGAGTTGTTAAACTATTATCATGTTTCAAAACAACTGTTGACTAAACTGATATTAGAAATAAGACTGTTGATACAATGCCAACAAAAAAGTCTCATACTTTAACGGTATAAGTGCAAATTTTATGTACTTTGAAATTTTTAGCTAGTGGTAGTTTCCAGTTAGTTGTGGGAGATGTTACTCTTGTTAGTCAGGCCAGTGCATCTCAACTTATAACAGATGTTATGGATGCACTATGCTCTTTCGCCTCAAAGTACATAATGTTTCCTACTAGCATTTCACAACTAAATAAAATTAAGCAAGGTAAGTTTATTCATTCATTTCACTAATAATAAGATATAATAAGATTTAATAGTTGTATATACTGTATATTTAATTTTAAAAACAAATTCATAGATAAATTTGAAAATTAGTCAACAGACAGTCTAATAATAAACTTTGATGATATTTAAGGAAATCAAAAGTATGAATTTGTTTTCTTAAGTAACTGTTATAAAAAATGGATCTATTATTAAAAAGACAGCAAATAAGCTGAGAAATACTGTTTTATTTATTTCTAACTATAGTAGAATATCTTATTTTTTTTTTATTACTAGTGTAAAAGTTGTCATCTGTGAGTGTGTGTGAATTTCTTATAACTTCTGTAATTTTTGGACAATTCAGAAAAAATTTGGTTATATTAGTTTCATGTTCTGACAGGAAGTATAGGCTACTTATTTTGCAGAAATATTAGTTATAGAATAAACGTTTATCAATTTAGGATCAATGATCATACTTATGTTGCAGTGATGTTAGTGATTACTTGACATTCATACTTGACAAGAAAATTTCCCTTATGCTGCATTTTAAAATATTTTGGCAAATGGCTTATTTTACACTTTATTAAATTTAAAATTTAAACTTTAAAAAATGATCAGGTCACTTTTTTAAAAAAATCTTTCCATAGTGACCACATGATGTTCTATTATCTAATCAGAAGTAATGAGCTAACAAGCATGTTGTAGAAAGTGTTATTGCTCATCTAATTAACGTACATACAATTCATTGGCCATGTGCAGGCAGGCATTATCATGAAAAAACAAAATCTTGGAACTCAATTTTCCCCAACATTTGTTTTGATAAATAACAACAACTCAAAACCCAAGAACTATAGATTAAACCACCAAACAATCGCCTTAATATCGGGCTATAATATTTGTTTTGAATCACTCTTCTTAACTTTTTAATGTTTATTGTTTTAATGATCTCTCTCAGAGTTTATTGTTGAACCACATTTGAGGAAATCCACCAGAAACACACCCTTCCTGTCCCAGAAAACAGTTGCCATGATGTTTCTTGCTGATGACAAATATTGCCAATGTTTGCAAACATTTCCTTGATTTTGTGGGAGAACTTGTGTCCTCACTCCATAGACTGGTTTTTTGTCTCACAATTCACGTTTTATCCAACTCTCATCCCCAGTTATGACACAATCAAGAAGTGAGTTACCATCTCTGTCATAGGCTTTCAGAAATGTCAATGATGCTGCCATGTGCTGTTTTTTGTGGTCATCTGACAAGATTTTCAGTATCCATCTAGCACAAAACTTTGGTAGCCTAGCCTGTATGTTACAACCTCATGCAACAAATTCCATGAAATTTTTAGAAACTCAAACAAGAGCTCCATAATTGTGAAGCAACAATTTTCACAAATCTTTCCATTGATTTTCATCACATCACCAGTTCATCAGTCAAAATGCTTGGTTGGCCTCTTTGCTTTTTATCATGAACATTAGTGCAGCCATTTTTAAACATGATGCACCACTGCCTCAATCTGCCTTTACTCATTACATCGTTTCCATATACCTCACAAAGTTGCTGATGAATTTCAATTGGTTTGTGGTTTTTTTGTGAAAAAAAACTTAATCATTGATTGCACTTCAGAACTCGCAGGATTTTCAATGGCAGCACACATTTTAAAAATTCATAGTGAACAAAGCAGAAGAAATACAAACCACATGCTAACATAGCTGAACGTGTAATGAATAAGGGGACATTTTGACACCGAAAAGGCAGCTCTAGCCCAATCCCACACCCCTAGCAGCCAAAATGTAAGTTACTTTCTGGATTGCCCACATATTTGCAGAATACAGCTTTATTTTTATTATTTTACTTTTCATAGTTAATAAATTAGCAGAAATTAAGTATTAATACAAATTACATATATAACAAACCTATTCAATTTGTATTTCCAAATGATCTGTCAGACTATTTATGAGGCTATACAGTAGAGCATCATTTATCCAAAACGTCAGTTATCCGAAAGAATTCCAGTCGGCAAATTTAAATTTTTGCTAGTGCTGTGGTGCTACAATCTTTGGCTACTCTAATATTTTTTTTGTTGATGTGTGTGTTTTAGCTGGCAGCACTGGCCCTTTTGTGTGGTGTTTCTGAGGACTGTGTGTCATGCTGAATCAAACGTTTTTGATACTAGATTAACTTCTAAAGTATAATTTTTTTTTTTTTGTTTTTATATTTTTCAATATATTTATTTTGTTTTTAAAAAATAAAGAAAGAATTTTTAACGATACAATAGCCACGATTATTATTTTAAAAAGTTTACGTTAGGCTTAACATTGATGAAAATTCAACACAAAGCGACACGCAACGGAGAAAAATTTTAACGTCGGATAGGTTAATATATTTTTTCGTACATAATCGGTTATCCGAAAAATAAGTTATCCAAACAACCCCAGTCCCCAATTGATTCGGATAAACGACGCTCTACTGTATTAAAGCTAATTTAATAATTAGATATAATGAAATTTGACTAGAGGTATGCACTTGGGCTGTCATATCATGATAAATTTAATGATTAGAAATAAATTAATTTTTAATTTAAATTTAGAATATTCTGAAAAAAATATAATTGTGATGCAGATGCATTGCCAGTTATGCTACCCAGACCTTCATTTAATTAATCTTTGCTTCTAGAGCTATTATAAGATAACAGCCTAATTGCCTATCTCTAGCCAAATTGCTTTATATCTAATTATAAATTTAGCCTTAATAAAGCTCAATAATCCTGTGGGTCATTTGGCAATATTAATTAAAATATTTTAGTACCATTGATAGCTAATGATAATATATTTTCTAACATATTAAGAGATTTGAAGATATTACCTGTTTATTTTATTCATTTAATTTTATATAATATAATAATATATAAAATTATAATATAAGATTAAAAGTCTCTAAAAATCTCATTGATTCCATTTTATCAAAGTTTTAAAGATTTTCCTAGTGTTTTTTGTGATCTCTTCATTCTTCTATGGTATAATTTCAATATTTTTTCATTTGAATATTTAAACTGAATAACATAAGCATATAAAACAACTTTAATTAGTTATAAAATAATTATTGCCTAAAATATTAAACTTTACACTTATATTTTTATATTTAGGCTGCTAATGAAGATGAACTTAGTTTTGTTGAACAAGAAGAATTAGAAATTGTTGCTGAAGGAGATGGAGATGGCTGGATCAAAGTAATATATTTTAATCATTAAACACATTTTAACTAGTTAATAAATACATAATTTTTAATTAAATGACCTGAAAATGAAATTAGTTATGTAAAAATGGGAATTAATGATAATTTAGGGAGTTAACTTGTCCTGTACATTTGTAACATTGCAAGAATATAAATATGTTTTTAAAACATATTGTATATAAATTCTTGTAAATATATTGCAATTATCCAAGAATGCTGATTAACTTAGTTGAAAGATTATTGAAAATATCATAATCCGTATATCATTTGAGATGACACTATCAGTTTGGCTAAGAAATTTATTTCAGTCAATATTTAAATAATCACATTGAGAAATATTATTAACTCTCTGGGAGTCATGTCACATCTTGCATATGACACAGTATTTATTTTTCAACATTTCTTATATTTAAAATTTCATTTTAAAAAATTCTAAAAAAATTTCTACTTTAATAACTTTCCAACCTGGATGAATACAGTTGACATATTTTTTTCCCTGCATAAATTCTTTCAAAAAAAATACTGGAATTTGAAAGTCTTTTACACAAGGAAAACAACTGAACTGGATGAAATAAAATCAACACAAGCAAAGCAAAATCTTATAATCTAGTATATACATTTAAAGTAAATAAACATTTGCAGTATTTGTACTTCAATTTCAAACAATTGATCACATTTGCTAATGGCATAATACAACAACTAAATGTTAATGTAATAACTTATATTGCTGTATGTTTTTCTCAGTACAATTGATCCAAGCAATTGCCCTGTGCAAACCTCAATTTTATAATTGACATGCTTTATTTTAAAGTCTAATGTCAGATGAATCTGAATGCAGAATGACTATACTGAAAAAATTTTAGTTTAAATATAGTAGTTCACTTTAATAATAATACAGATACACAAAAAATACTAAACAACGATTCTATAGCAAATATCAAACACACAAAAGACAATCCTTCATCAAGACATTACTTTATTTATTTACTGGAACATTTTTAGGAAAAATCTTTTCCCATTATCATCACATTCTAAAATACAAAATTTTCAAATGAGATAAGACCAGCATTCTATTCATATTCTACGATTCAGTTACAAAAATTCTAATATTTGTTCTATGTTCATTTTCTATGAAATTCCTGAAACAATTACAAAAAACATTTCTATCATACTAAATCTATTGTGTAACTTTATCTAATCAAAATGCTTTTCACTACTTTACCTTCACTACTACATTCAGTTACCAATTCCTACTTAATCCTTAACTTGTCACTATCTTCTTCTCTTCTTATCAATAACTGATTTCCAAACTTCTGATAGTGCTTCCACATAATTTTTATTTGTTACATTACATCTGAAACTGTAGAGATAAATACACATCTGCTCAACTATTCTTATATTTATATAAGACCATTCTATATAGATGTTTTCACAGATGATAATGTTCAGTCAGAAAACCAACTATCACTCTAATTCAATTCTGTCATCCATAGTACTGAGTGTCTATTTAATTTGTTACATTTAAAGAATACAATAGAACATCAGTTATATGAAATAATTTATAAATAAGATAATTGCAATAAAATTTGTAAAAATATCTTTTTAAGCACTAAATCTGAACATAAAATGACTTGCCTCAGATGAATTTCTTATAGAATGACAAGCTAAATTATCAATTTATAATAATTTTAATTAACTGTTCTGAATTTTAAAATTGTTTTTAATGAAATTTATTGTTTTGAAACTTGATTTAGGCAAGAAATTATATTGGAAAAGAAGGTTTTATTCCTCAGAACTATGTTGAAATTATAGATGGACAGCAATTAATATCATCCATTCAACCTGCTCCTGCTTCTTTTTCTTCGGTAGACTACTACATACCTGAAGGTGAAGCTGAGGTTCCACCTCCTGCTTCTGAAAAAACAGAGGAAACTGTGGAGTCAGCACCTCCTCAGGTAGAGGTTGTAGCAGCATCCGAGGCATTGGAAGGTATGTAAATTAGATATTAGTTATAAAATAAATCAAATAAGATTGAGATGAATAAGTATTATTTATACGTGATAATATTTATTGTAAATTATTGATAAATAAACATTATATTATAAATATGTTTTTCTTTATTAGAGTTTTATTTAGATTTATTAGTTTGCTGTATTGTTCAGTCACAAGAATAATAACATTTGAGCTTGAACTTTGTTTATACTATAAAATTCTTAATATTTTAGTCATTTGCAAATTGCAAAAAGTATTAAACAAATTTATAAGTTGAAAGTTAATGATACAATATTAGATTAGCTTTAGCTGTATAGTTTAATCTAGTTTTATATATTTGTCATTGAGCTATATATATATTTGAGAAAGAAATATAAAGACATGTTAATATTTTATAATGATAACAGTAAATTGAAAGATTTGTCTTTCATGAAATAACTAATATGTTAATATTGTAATACTGAGATATGGGCATAATTATTTTTTATAATATCTTTTTTTACCATAAGGGAAAACTCTTGCTCTCCCTACTTTTTTGTTCTTTCTGATCTTTATTCTCACTTTCCATAGATCCTTAACCAGGAATATGTATGTATGAAATTTTGTGACAATAAATTTAATTTTGCAATGGATCATGACACTGATACTCTTAATACTATAAGGAAATGAACATTTTGCAAATTTGAGTTTGAAAGTAAGAACAATGGCAACAGTTGACAAATTAAAGTTACAGAAATTGAACACTGAAAATCACTCTGTATGGAAAGTAATAGCCAAAGCTGTATTAATACAAAAAGAATCATGGGAGGCCATAGAATCCAGGATATGGTCCAGGTATGTTGTTGGATGAAAATGCTAAGATATTAATGGTAAGGCATTAGCATTTTTATTGATGGCCATTGAAGTAATTGTGTGGATGATATTGAAGACTGCACACATGCATAGGAAATGTTAGAATTATATTCAGATATATTCATGACTATAGCAAAGTGAGTAATTATTCATTTCTGACTGTTCACTTGTCACTTAAAGATGATACTCCTATTCAGTGTAAACTGCAAACTATGTCCAAACTATTGGGTTGTTCAGAAAGTAATTTCGTTTTTTTCCGTGGAAAAAAAACGCAATATTCTTAAAGATGATACTCCTATTCAGTGTAAACTGCAAACTATGTCCAAACTATTGGGTTGTTCAAAAAGTAAGTTCGTTTTTTTCCGTGGAAAAAAAACGCAATATTCTTATGATAAATAAATATTTTATTGAATTATATGTTGAAGACATTTTTGACATTGTCATTTCAAGTAAATGTCTTACAGTTAAAAATAATTTGTATAGACCTGAACAAGTAATAATCTGAGTATGCTCGATCTGGCGAATATGGTTGGTGTGATAGCATGTCCCATCTAAGTTATAACAGTTTCTGACGAGTTACCAAACTTGTGTGAAATTTGACATTATTGTGGTAAAACACTACACCTGTTATGTTGATCAATTCTGGCCACCTTTTCTGTTTGATGATATTACTCAATTTGTTTACTCGATGGCAGTACACTTTCGAATCAATTGTTAAATTGTCTGGTAAAAGCTCTAAAAAAATTTCCTTAAAATCCCACCAAAGAGAGCATCTATCTTTAAGAACATATGGAACCCATATATCAAGCTTTGAAATGAAACCAATTTGTGTCAAGTAATCATAAACAGTTCAATTTGACAAATTTAATGTCTTAGTGATTTCACATGTTTTTATTCAGCAGTTTCCTTCAATCAGTACCTTTATTTTGTTTTCATTGGCTTCAGTTGGCCATCCAGAACGTGGTGCATCTTCAATATTGAAATTGCCAGAATGAAATTTTGTAAACCAGTTTTGGCACTGTCATTCTGTCAATACATCTTCTCCATACATGTCACACAAGTTTTTTCTCACTTGAACAGCATTCTTACCTTTTCAGTAATAAAAGAGCAAACTATGCCGAAAATACTGCTTTCGATCTTCCATATTTGATGGGACACAAAAAATAAACAATTGCACAAAATCAAACAAAATTTTTTACAAATAAGCCTTAAAATGCTAGCTGTCAAAATATATAATGATAATACGGTTTAGAATGAAAATGGCGGGAAAAATATGACTAATCCGTCTAGTGGTAAAGAAAACTAAATTACTTTCCAAACAACCCAATAGATCATATGCTTATTAAGAACAAATAAGTAGGTCCAGCAAGGTATTTGTCAACCCTTGTTTTCATCTTTTGCTGTTCTTTGTTCCATTATGGAACCACTTTTTATGAGATATGTACTGTATGCCACATCAATTGGTTGTTGATTGTTCTCAAACAATTAACAAATTTTTGGTACCACATCCTGAACCTTAGCAGTGATGATATTTTAAATTGTGTAGTCAATAAGAGTTAAAGTTAAAAAAAGATGTATCAAAGACATTCAATATGATACCAATTGAAACTGATGACATGTACTGTACAAGAATGCCTTCATTATATCTAATGATCATTATGAAAACTTGAATTAAATAGCATTATTTTTGTTCCAAGGCATTAAAATGCAATATATTTCAGTTAAATATTTTTCAAGATGTTTTTCTTTATTTGAAACTCTGCCTATGTTTTTTCTAAACTTTTCAGAATCATAATGATGTAGTTCTGAAAAAGTATAGAAAGAACATATTTTTCAAGATATTTTACTCATCATCAGATCAAACATTTAACAATAAACAGATTTAAACCTTAGAACATATTAATAAATTTTGAATTACAATTAAACAGAACAAAGTTTTAAAAATTTTGTTATGTTTTTGCTTTACTTTATATTTGTTTTGCTTTTAAAATGTTTATTTAACTTAAAAATCAAAATATTCTGAGATGTTGTTATGTAGTCAACATTTTATTAATTTTTTTTATAATTGGAACATATTTATCTTTAAACAAAAATGTTAAAGTAAAACAGAACAAAAAAAAAAACATTTTTTTTTGTTCTGTAAAAAGAACAAAAAAAAAACATTTTTTTTTTGTTCTTTTTACTTTAAAAAAAGTACTGTATAAACTATTATTTTCTTAATTTTGAATTATTAGGTATTGCCATTGTTTAAATTAATAAAAAATCATTTATGTAAAATATTATTATTTTATATAATAAATTTACAATATCTTCAATAACAAACTTCTTGGCAACAAATAATATGAAAGTGAATATAAAAACTCATTCATGAAAAAGTATGTAAATTATTAATAGATAATAATTTTATCTAGAAAATTATATGTTAAACAAAGAGGATATTGTAATGATTATTTAATATATAACATTTATATAATGTAATGTAACATATAATATATATATAAAACCCTTTTTTATAAGTTTTTAATACTGAGATTTATGGACTTTATTATATATTAGTTTTTTCTATAATGTTTAACAGAAAAGAAAGATTCATATTGTCAAGCATTATATGATTATATTGCAACTTGCGATGAAGAACTTTCATTTTGTGAGGGGCAAATGATTAAAATCATAAATAAAATGGTTCATGACATAGATGATGGTTGGTGGGAAGGTGAAATTGATGGAAAAATTGGATTGTTTCCATCTCTAGTAGTTGAAGAAGTTAGAAGTGAAGAAGGATCAATTACATCTCAGGTACAGGAAACTATTATTATTTCTTATAGTTAACATTAAAGCAACAAATAATAACAATGAAAAATTGAATAGCAATCAATTAGATAGGTAAATTTATTATTATTACTATTAACAGTCATATAATCTAGTTATTGTAGATTATTGTGATAAATAACTAACTGGTTTATTTATAATTTAAGACCAAAGAATTAAAAATACTTGTGGGTTAACCTCTTTCACATTGCATGTCACACTGCACTGCATTCAAAATAGTAGGCAATCCAAAATAAGATATTTATATTTGTCAGTTTCATGAGATACCTTCTTTTATATTAATCAAATAATCATTCAAATAATTTTAATATTTTAGTAAATAAAGTATGACAAATATTTATATTTATTACTACTCTACCATACATAATTTTTTAATTCTTAATACTTGTATGATGTTAAAATATAATAAATTCAAGTCAATTGCTTCTCTAGGTACTGGTTTAATAGCAGGATTGTGGAGTTGGAGTCATGGAGTTTTGGTGTTTTAGCCGGAGTCGGAGTCGTCAAAAAATCCACCGACTCCGACTCCTTTTTACTTACCAACTTGTTATGTATATAAAATGGAAAAGTATTGGAATCGTGTCATATTTGACCTTCCAAGTTTTTTTTTTTACAAATCTACGCATTTGGAGACCTCCCGAACCCCTCAAAAAAGTCAATAAAAGGGGGAAAATTGTGTGTGTGTGTTGGCGTCTAATTTGTTTAATTTCTTTATTTTCTGTTCTGAGATATTAAACAATATCTCAAAATAGGTAAAGTTTAAGAAACGAAATGTGGCACTGTAGCTTGCGTATAAAGGGGCATTAATACTATTAAATTTTGGTTCTTAATTAAAGGNAACTATTATTTTCTTAATTTTGAATTATTAGGTATTGCCATTGTTTAAATTAATAAAAAATCATTTATGTAAAATATTATTATTTTATATAATAAATTTACAATATCTTCAATAACAAACTTTTTGGCAACAAATAATATGAAAGTGAATAGAAAAACTCATTCATGAAAAAGTATGTAAAGTATTAATAAATAATAATTTTATCTAGAAAATTATATGTTAAACAAAGAGGATATTGTAATGATTATTTAATATATAACATTTATATAATGTAATGTAACATATAATATATATATAAAACCCTTTTTTATAAGTTTTTAATACTGAGATTTATGGACTTTATTATATATCAGTTTTTTCTATAATGTTTAACAGAAAAGAAAGATTCATATTGTCAAGCATTATATGATTATATTGCAACTTGCGATGAAGAACTTTCATTTTGTGAGGGGCAAATGATTAAAATCATAAATAAAATGGTTCATGACATAGATGATGGTTGGTGGGAAGGTGAAATTGATGGAAAAATTGGATTGTTTCCATCTCTAGTAGTTGAAGAAGTTAGAAGTGAAGAAGGATCAATTACATCTCAGGTACAGGAAACTATTATTATTTCTTATAGTTAACATTAAAGCAACAAATAATAACAATGAAAAATTGAATAGCAATCAATTAGATAGGTAAATTTATTATTATTACTATTAACAGTCATATAATCTAGTTATTGTAGATTATTGTGATAAATAACTAACTGGTTTATTTATAATTTAAGACCAAAGAATTAAAAATACTTGTGGGTTAACCTCTTTCACATTGCATGTCACACTGCACTGCATTCAAAATAGTAGGCAATCCAAAATAAGATATTTATATTTGTCAGTTTCATGAGATACCTTCTTTTATATTAATCAAATAATCATTCAAATAATTTTAATATTTTAGTAAATAAAGTATGACAAATATTTATATTTATTACTACTCTACCATACATAATTTTTTAATTCTTAATACTTGTATGATGTTAAAATATAATAAATTCAAGTCAATTGCTTCTCTAGGTACTGGTTTAATAGCAGGATTGTGGAGTTGGAGTCATGGAGTTTTGGTGTTTTAGCCGGAGTCGGAGTCGTCAAAAAATCCACCGACTCCGACTCCTTTTTACTTACCAACTTGTTATGTATATAAAATGGAAAAGTATTGGAATCGTGTCATATTTGACCTTCCAAGTTTTTTTTTTTACAAATCTACGCATTTGGAGACCTCCCGAACCCCTCAAAAAAGTCAATAAAAGGGGGAAAATTGTGTGTGTGTGTTGGCGTCTAATTTGTTTAATTTCTTTATTTTCTGTTCTGAGATATTAAACAATATCTCAAAATAGGTAAAGTTTAAGAAATGAAATGTGGCACTGTAGCTTGCGTATAAAGGGGCATTAATACTATTAAATTTTGGTTCTTAATTAAAGGTCGACAGGATGAAGACATAAAAGTGGTCATGTGTCATATCTCTTAATGAATATTTTACTCGTTATTAGCATTCAAAATTTTAAAAAATAAAATAAAACTCGTCTCTACCCTCAAAGTAAGCTTTTTTTTGTCATTTTATAATAGTACAGTAAAACCGTTAAGATGTTCTCGACTACAATGTTAGAATATGTATGGGGGCACGATTTAATTAATTTGACCACTTTGACGCTTAATAACTAACTCCTGTGTTAAACCATCTGCCTCCGATTCTGACCACTTTGACCACAGAAATTATTAGGCTTCAAACAGGGTGAACAAAATCATTCCCCCCACACAGTCTAACATCTACACATATAGAAAAACCTAGAATCTTTTGCTTAATTAAATTGAAATTTCAAGGTGTTCTTAGTCCAAAAATGTAAAAATTTGGGAGGGGTCATTTTTTTTGACCGAGCGCTACACTTTGTTATATATCCTCTGTTATATATAACAGCCGGAAAAGTAAAAATTATCGAATACATATTTATATATTACTTAGAGGAGTCTTTTAGCTTTGAAATAAAAAGTTTCTACTTTCTATCTTTATTAGAACTCTATTTATTGAATCTTTTATTCTGAGGTCACTTGATGACATCAGAATTTTCGGGTCTCTTTCGGTAACAAGTCCGCCCCTGGTCGGAGTCAGAGTCGGATGGTAAGGAAAAGTCGGAGTTGGAGTTGGAGTCGGTAGATTTTTACGTGACTCTGGAAGCGCTGTATTGCCAGCATCCAAAAAGCCAGATTCATTCATGCGTTTTACAGAGCACCAATCTCACCCAGTTTAGCTGATGGAAGCCTAGGACCTTGGGTGGATGCTACACATATAATGCATCCAATTCTATCCAGGACTGGTTCTGGGCTGTTAGCCGCCTGCCTGCTAGATATTTGGCTGCCCTTGCCCGATTACGTGAATCACGAGTAGATTTATAACTTAACCCAACCGATAGGAATTTACTGGTATGTTTTTATGATAGTTCTGTATAGTTGACAGGAGTTAAAAAATCCATTAAAATATTTGATATTTTTATTCCGCTCTCCAATTTTATATTACTCATGGATTTCAATGTTAAACCAGTGATATTACGATTTTGTATATCCATCTTTAAGGGGATGTAGGAAAAAAACATGTACAATTCTTGTATAGTGTTAAAAAATTAACTGTTACTTTGACAGCATTATTTACAACTAAATTTAATGAATGAGAGAGATGCATGAGGTACAGAAAAAGCTCTAGAATTTATTTTCCTTAAATTTACGATTTATGTATCCGTTGTCGTAAAAATTTGTCTTTCCACTTTTTTCCCGAGACTACAAATATTCGAGTACAAAGTAACTGGTTTCGACTTATTTCTACTTAAGAAGTAGTTAAATAATTAAGCGATTAGGGAATTGGGGACGTAAACAAAACCCTGATGAAAGAGCCGGAATTTTACTTAAACAAAAGGCTAACCGGACCAATATCTAGCCGAGTACAGTGGGACTGATTTCTTCATAATATTAGATGTAATAAAGACAGAAATTTTTCCAGTTCAATGAAAGTGAGTAAAAGTTGTAAATTTTGGAAATTTCCGTGGACACCTGGTCTTAAAACGAATTACAGTAGTTAGAAAACAAATGACTTTTAAGTTTAACAAATTTAGATTTTTACAGCTATGATGAGAAACGTTTAAAATTTACAACAACCCTGTCGCGTCCTTTGAGATATACTAGTGATGAGACAAAAGAGACATTAACCGGTATCGGCACCCTCGGGATTTGGCAAGCATGCACCGCACCGCACACCTACCAAGACCGTCTCTGATTCCATCCACGAGCCACTGGTAGGGAGCAATTTTAACTAGGTGGATTGTTTTAATATTTAAAAAGTAAAGACTATTTTATGTTATTTTTATGTACGTTTCTTCACAAAACTATATTTATAATTTTCTTTAAAAGTATATTCATACAATTGAATATTTTGTACCAGGTATGTATAATTGTATATCATCACACATTTTATTTTAACAAGTAAGTTTTTATAATTTTATTTTTAATTTTAGCCCTTATATTATAGCTAGCAATTTAGAATGTAATTGTGATATCGAAAATTTATTTCAAAAAGTTTTGGCTCGAGACCATATAATGAAAAAGAAAAAATTTGTTCGACATTTTCATGATAAAATTTATGAAGATATAAAATGGCTTTGTGGATGCATAAAAATGCAAAATTTGTTTTGTTGGCCTTGCCTACTATTTTCAAATAAAATTAGTGTGTAGAATGAGATTGGCTTTGACGATTTAAATAATTTGAGTAAAGCTGGCAAAAGACACGAAAATCCTAAATCTCGCATCGATTCTTTCGTAAAATTGAAGCAATTTGGAAATCAAAATAGAATAGAATTTAACATTAGTACACAATATAAAATATATATTGAAAATTATAACAAGATAGTTACGGCTAATAGATATATTTTAATTAGTAGATGTTATCGAAGCGAGAATTGGCATTTAGAGGGCGTAGAGAATCTATTAAATCTAATATAACAGAGTTAATTATATTGAACTTGCTTATTTATTAAGTGCGTTAGATAATCTATTAATTAAAAATACATTTAGAGAAGTCTACGGTTTTTACTGGCTTATCAAACAAATGAATACAAATGGACCCTAAACCAGGCATGGCCAACATATGGCCCATGGGCCAGATCTGGCCCATCTAACAAATTTATGTGGCCCATGATCAATCTTTCAATATTAGGTACTGAAGTCCAAATAGCTCAATGAAAGATTATGACGCCTAAAAAAAAAAAGTCAACCACTCACTGTGCGTTTAGAGTTAACCCTCCATTACAAATCTCATTAAGTACAGCGTAGAGTGTTGATAAAGCATGATAATGTGAAAAATGTAATCTCTATCTACAATTCAGTCTCTACGGGGTGACACCACAATGAAATCTCACACCACCTCAAAATCTTCCTAGGGCAGCCTCTGGTTTGGCCCGTGGAAAAAGTTTTCTTTCCAATTTGGCCCGGGAGCAAAAACTGTTGGCCACCCCTGCCCTAAACCATCATTGACTGATTGCCCCTGGAAGTCGGCTTCTTACAGAAACACAGCTTCCCTATCATCAAATGTCACGGCATGCCACTGGATTACACCATTTTCATTGATTTCATATGTGCAATATATAGAGTTAATTCAATGCCAATGTTTTCCTTTTTTCCTTTATGAATTTTGCCAAGAATTTATGTTTGACCATTGTTATTAATGTACCTGTATAATTTGGGAGCAATTTATAATGTAACATAATACATTTCAATATCAAACCATACTGGCAGCACTTAAAAGAAATTCAATTGTATACATTCCTTGTGCCAACATTCTTTTCCATTTAGAAGTGCAAAGAAATATCTCCTTGCAGTTTCCATGCAGTATGAAAGAAATAATTAATTTTTCACTCCAGATTCTTTTCAGATAAAAGTTTAAGAGCACTGCACTATCTATTGACATTAATAAGGTTTTGATGTGTAAAACACAAAATAAATACAAAATATCTCATAAGCTCTTTCGACATATATAGAATATCTTCAGGTGAAATAAAAACAAATTTTAAAACATTAATGTTAATTTGTTTTAATTGGAACATATGTGTTAAATTTAAATGGTGTGCTATTAAAATTATACATTTAATTAACAGTCAAACTAAATTCGTAAAATATTGGTGGCTAGGATCTGATTTTTTTAAAATTATTATTTATGATAGGAAATCTACAATATGTGAAAGATTTAAAAGATTATATATCCAATTTTTTTCCATTACAATGTTTTAAAATTAACTCATTAAAGACATACACAGTTCTAAGCATAATCTTTTATATATAGTCAGTATCAGTCTCAAATTTTCTTTTAACATATAGAAATCATTAATGAAATTGATACACATTAATACTAGGTAAGATTTAGTGAGAAATTCTTTTATTCTATTTATTTTAGATTCTCTGCCTAATTTGAGATTGTCAAATTGAAGATCCTTTATTTATATTTCAGGAAGCATCAACACCTGTTGATAGTGCACCCCCTCCAGCTTATACACCTCCTAAACCACAGTTTTTAACAATGCCTGCACAAGTCATTCTCACTCAACCTACACCTGAAATTGAAGAACAGAAGCCAGGAGGAATAACATCACAAAGTAATTTATTATTGTATGATAATTTAATAAAAAATTAAAATGATAAAATTCTACCTTTTTTTATTAGCTGTATCTGTTTTATATCACGATCCAGATTTCCAATTAGAATTACCAAAAAATCAACAAAGCCAATATCAAACTCAATTTTCTGCATCTGATAATGATAGTGAAGCTAGTGAACAAGAAGCAGCAGGTAAAATATTTTATATGTTACTTATGTTTATGAAATTCAGTTTAAGCATAAATAAACTTGATTTATTTTATAGCTACTGAAGAGATAGGAAATTATGCACCTTTGGTATCTAGTCCAGAAAGTCCAACTCATGGACAGGTAATGCTTTGTTTTATTTATTTATTTTTTCTTTTCAAAAAATATAAATAACAATTTAATAAGGACCCTGATAACAACACACAAACTATGTATATCTTTAGCAATATTTGTTTTATTAATTATATAATTAACAAAACTGTACAAAGTATAATATTTTTAAAATTTTATATTTTTAGATATTCTATTCTTTAATATTATATGTAAATTCTTTTAAATTAATACAGTAACATTTTATTTATAAAATATTATTTATCTAATCCCCATCCAAATATAAAAGTCATAATCTACTTTAATAAATTATTGTTGAATATTTGATGATTTCAATGCTGTTATTTTACTACTGTATTCTCAATATTTATATGTATTTGTTTTTGTTTTATTGTAATTTCAGTCTAACAAAGAAAAAGAAGAGGAAGTTATTCCAGAACAAGTAATAATAATAACTGCACCAGATGATGAACCCATGGACAATGATGATGATAATATTCCAGAGAGTCCTGTTGAAGAAAATGAAGATTTTTCAAAAAGTACTTATCGAAGTGCAGAAGAAATAGATTTCGATGTAGGAATAAATGGAAATATAGATAGCCCAGTGAAAGAACCTGAATCACCTACTGAAAAGCCCAAAATTACAGAAAAAGGCATAATTCCTGATGAAGATGGTAGCCATAAAGATGTTGCTGACAAACCAAAAGAAGATAAAAATAAAGATAAGGAGTCAAAAACATCCATGACAAAAAGTAATAAAGTGGAAGTAGAAAATTCTGATATATGTAGCATAAAGGAAGACAAAACTGAAGATAGTCAAGCAGTTTGTTCTTCTGATATTAAAGAAACTTCTGACAAATCAATAAAATCAGAAGAAATAACTCAGGTAGATTCAGAGGATTAAACTATATAATTAAAATATGTATATTTTATAGGTGGGTAACCATTTTTCCTCATTTAATTATGAATGAATTAAATAATTTATACAAATACACACACACANTAATCCCCATCCAAATATAAAAGTCATAATCTACTTTAATAAATTATTGTTGAATATTTGATGATTTCAATGCTGTTATTTTACTACTGTATTCTCAATATTTATATGTATTTGTTTTTGTTTTATTGTAATTTCAGTCTAACAAAGAAAAAGAAGAGGAAGTTATTCCAGAACAAGTAATAATAATAACTGCACCAGATGATGAACCCATGGACAATGATGATGATAATATTCCAGAGAGTCCTGTTGAAGAAAATGAAGATTTTTCAAAAAGTACTTATCGAAGTGCAGAAGAAATAGATTTCGATGTAGGAATAAATGGAAATATAGATAGCCCAGTGAAAGAACCTGAATCACCTACTGAAAAGCCCAAAATTACAGAAAAAGGCATAATTCCTGATGAAGATGGTAGCCATAAAGATGTTGCTGACAAACCAAAAGAAGATAAAAATAAAGATAAGGAGTCAAAAACATCCATGACAAAAAGTAATAAAGTGGAAGTAGAAAATTCTGATATATGTAGCATAAAGGAAGACAAAACTGAAGATAGTCAAGCAGTTTGTTCTTCTGATATTAAAGAAACTTCTGACAAATCAATAAAATCAGAAGAAATAACTCAGGTAGATTCAGAGGATTAAACTATATAATTAAAATATGTATATTTTATAGGTGGGTAACCATTTTTCCTCATTTAATTATGAATGAATTAAATAATTTATACAAATACACACACACACACACACACACACACACAATGATATTCTGTAATATAAACACTAGTATGTATTATTATTTTTATTTTTATAATGTAAATAAAAGCACTTAAAACAATTATTTTCCTTCTTTGAAAGGTGCTTTATTATAAATATAATCAAATTATTACAGATATTTATTTTTATACAATATCATTTTAGTTTTAAATGCTTTTTCATTATGAAAAGCTTTTATTTCAATAAATATTAAAGTTTTAAGCATGTAAATAATTATAGAAATATGATAATATTGTTACTTAAAGATGAACTTCTTGTTTTCTTTAATAAAAAGATAACCATAATTTTGCTTTAATCAGTATAAATTTGTTTCTTAAATGTTTTATTCATCCAATTGAAAAATAGATACGTAAATAAAAATTTGTACTAGTTAAGGCAAAATTATGAATGGTCCTTAATAATAATGTATAAATCAAATGCAATGAAATTATATTCAGTTCTAAAAAATCCAGATAATTCCAATAATTACATTAAATGTAATTGATCTATAAATATTTTAATTTTACTGTTTCAAAAAAATTTTATTAATGATTTATTTTATTTGAAAAATATAATATTTAATTGATAGATCAATTAATGAAGTCACTTTAATATAGTTTAGAACAGGAAGTTAAATCCCTCTATGCAATAAATTCTGAACTTATTTGCCACTACAAAAACATTGTCTGGATTTTTCAGAATATCAATAATCAAGGGTTGATTATATCAAAAAATAATAATAAATTTCAGTTAATTAAAAACTTTTAAAGATGATTAATATATAATTTATATATATATATGTTGTATCATTATCATTTATTAATCATTTTGTTATACTTCAAACATAGATGTTTTTATTCACGTGTTAAAATTTTAAAATTTAATTTGGATTTAAATTATCAAAAAAGTTATGTATTTTATTTTAAATCATTGTAAACAGACTTAATAAAAACTATTTTATTTTTTTTACTAGCACACAGTTTTAATTCAAAATAGATTTTTCAGTTCTAAATATGTAATAATTACATGTTTAAATTATGAAAATTATTATTATATTTTTTTAAAAATAATGTTAATGCAGTATATAATGTACTGTTATAAAAATATTGTACAAATATCAATGCATATTATTATAGAGTTTTCATGATACAATATCAATATTTTCTGTATAAATTATTTCTTATACAATTTATTTCATATTTATTGTTTATGTCATGTACAAAATTTGATATATGTATTGTTAAAAATTTTATAAATAATAGTAGTATTAAATAAAGAATTGCATTTGTTTCCAGTAAAGCATTTAAAATACAAATATTAAACAAATTGACCAAATTTTGAAGATTTTATATTTACACTATATAAAAAACATAATTTTACTTAAGATAATTTATAATAAAATATTGTTAAAAATATTAGATATATATACAGTATATAAAATTATTATTATGGTTATCTTATTTGTTACAGAATTCTATTGAAATTTTGTTTTCGATGATAATAAATTATCAATTAAAAACTATGTTTATATATAAATTTAAAAATAATACCAAAATATTTTAAAAATTATTTTCTATTTTAAATTAATCTGTTTGCAATATATGTAAAATCAAAGTTCTTTGACAAAGTTCTTAAAATTATTTCAAATTAAACATTTTCAGAAGTTACTGACATCACCAAAATGCTCATAAATTTAATTCACAGGTGTTTCAAAGTCTCAAAACTTTAATCCATTATAAATTTTTTGAATTTAAGAAAAACTGTTCATATTTTTGTATATAATATTTTTGAAAAGCAACACACATAAATAACTATGTATTTTTCAAGTATAAATTAATTTGTACCTGATATACAATATTTGTTTTTATTTCTATAACAACTGAATTACAAATTATTTTTAAAAGTTTGAAATGACTTTCAAAAATAGTTTTTTTAATCCAAAGCAGTTTAATATACAATAATAATATATGAGAATTTGCTTCCAGATTTTTTTAATGGATATTGATTACTTGAAAACAATATAAGATGGATTTTTCAAGTTAATTAAATTTATTATGTATTCCATTGATTACATAAATTTAAATTATTTGATTTTAACTTTTTTAATATATTTTCAACAAATTTTATGATAAAGTAAGTCTATTATACTCTACTCTTTAAAAACAAATATAGTAATTTAGATTAATTTTGAACTTGAAGAATTCACAAATTTTAATAAATTGTATTGTACAGTACATCATATTGGCGCACTTTTTAATGTGAGTGAGTATAATGTTATAGCACATTGGTGTAAATTTTAGATTTCTTTTATCATTTGCACTGTAATTTATGGCAAATATTTGTTGTTTTCATTCAATTTTTTAGAGATTAAACTTTTCCCCTCATGAAACTTAAAGTACTAAATTTTTAAATTATATTGTTTTTGTATCATTCCATTTAAAGTTAATAATTATTCCATTGGAAATTATATTTTGTAAGATTAATTCAAGTATTTACTTTATTTATAGGGAAAATTGTGAGGTAATTTCTTATTTTTTAAATACCTGAAAAAATATTATCAATTTGCAAACTGAAATAAGAAAAAACACAATTCACTTAATTATGACAAAAACAGCAGGATGGATTTTATTTATTATGTATTACTTTCATTTAAAAATGAAGTACAAATTCTTTAATTTAAAACATATAACATATTGACATAACTAGAATATAAAATTGTACTTTCTAATTGATGTTATGATAAAAAAAAATAAGTACTTAGTTTATAAAAAATGATATAAAAGAATCAAAGGAGATAAACATAGTAAAGCTTAATTAATCAGCTATCTTTCTACCTCATTTAAATATTTATATTTTATGATAATAAAGAATTTAATAAAATTGGATTTTTTTAATTAAAATTATATATTAAATGATAGAATAAATTAATTCTATCCATTTCTAAAATAATTTTCTTTTTATTAAATCATTTATTTAAAATAACTATAATTATTCATAATAAAATAATTTTTATAAAAATTATGCTTTTGTTTGTTTTTACAATATGTACTATATATCCTTATTTGAACTTGTGAGGAATGCGAAAACATTGTTTTCTCTTTTCAACCAATCACAATACTATAATCTGAGATGTGCATACAGATGGCAAAACAAGTAATGTGAATAGGAGACAAAATAAAACTGTGTTCCAAAAACCTTGCAAATCTGTGATTGGTGAAAACCGGAAATGATGTAATCAAATTTGTTGCTAGTTTATATAAGAATATTACAGTTACCAGCCTTTATACTGAATATTATGTATGTACATGGACAATACTTAATACTTAGAGACTATTGTGATATTAATTTATAAAAAATTCACTACCATCAGTCTGATTTTATCATCTATTTATGATGTTAAACACAAATTTTTAAAAATAATCCTGTTTTTTCAGGCTAAATGCACTATTGTTTTAGTACTTGTAAGATTTAATAAACTGTTTATATAGTTTACAGTAAATTTATAAAATTTTGTTTTACCATTGTTTATCTGAAAATTGATATTACATAAATCAAGTTCATCAATACCATTACAGTAGAAGACTGATATTGCAATAATCCCTTAAGTTTTTGAGCACTGTAAAAACTATGATAAATTCTCCATCAGATCTAGATCTAAATTTTACTTATTTTTTTTTGTTGTTTCCTTAAATGTACTTTTTTTCTCTTCTTAAAATTAATTTTATGTAATTTTAAAAATAAATCTAACATTATTGGATCATCTCAATGTCATAAAATAGCCATGCATATCTGTAATACTATGTCTTCTATCAAAATGAGAATAACTATCACATTGATTATATTATTCATCCATTAATTATAAATAACAATTCAGGATATTCAATATAAATTCAGATCACACAATATTAAATTCAATAATAATCACAAAATAATGAATAATAATAATTTTCTATGCATTATAGATTATCAATTTTAATATTTTCAAATTTGATTAATCTTAATTTAATTTTTCATCATTAATTCAATAGTCAAAATTATTAAAATAGAATCGACTCTTCCGTTTTGCAAATAGTAAATTAATTAATAACACTCAAATATACTTGCATACAAGTATTGATATTTATTTATATTTGTTTGTCAATAAAATTAGCTTCTACAAAATTTATTATTATTCATGATTTTATTTCCTCTGAATGTGAATTTTTTCATAATATAGGCTACAAATTTCTGTTGTATATTAGAGTAATTCGTAGGAACTATTAAACAAATACTGATGGCATACTTGTTCTTAATTTCAGATTCAAAGCAGTTTAATTAGAAAAGTGAATTCCACTATTTTAAGTTATTTTTATGACAAGTAATGTTTTACATTTAATATGTGTATCTGGAGCAATGGTGCTGGAGCTGGAGAAGAGGTATCAGTTGCCCCCACACTAGTTATTATGGGAGAAGTGTACATTTTGCCTCCATATCCGTTTGTGGAAGTGAATAAAGTATATTTTCAAGNGCCTCTTCTTACGGTAGCGTTGAATATTTACGGCCTCAACTATGACGTCACTCCCCACTAACCCCCTGTGGTGATTGTGCATCTCCTGTACGTAGCACGCTTACTCTAAAATCTTTTTCCCCAACTTTAGCAAGTATCCTATCTGCACACCTCCCTTCTTTACCAAAAGTATGTAGTTTTTCTCCCTCGGTATCGTATACCTATCATCGACAAAGACGTCACGGGTAAGACGACACCTGGGTAAACATTGGCAGCATTTAAACTTCTTCTAACCGACGCTCCACAGTGTACCCGAGGAAGGCCTATTAAGAAGGCTGAAAACGTTTGTACTCCAGTTAATAAGGCTAGAAATTAGTGAGAAAGGTTTTGTGCTGTTAGTCTTAGAAATAGTTCTAGCTACATATGCATAGTAATTAATAACACTCAAATATACTTGCATACAAGTATTGATATTTATTTATATTTGTTTGTCAATAAAATTAGCTTCTACAAAATTTATTATTATTCATGATTTTATTTCCTCTGAATGTGAATTTTTTCAGAATATAGGCTACAAATTTCTGTTGTATATTAGAGTAATTCGTAGGAACTATTAAACAAATACTGATGGCATACTTGTTCTTAATTTCAGATTCAAAGCAGTTTAATTAGAAAAGTGAATTCCACTATTTTAAGTTATTTTTATGACAAGTAATGTTTTACATTTAATATGTGTATCTGGAGCAATGGTGCTGGAGCTGGAGAAGAGGTATCAGTTGCCCCCACACTAGTTATTATGGGAGAAGTGTACATTTTGCCTCCATATCCGTTTGTGGAAGTGAATAAAGTATATTTTCAGTATACTGTATTATTAATATATAACAGAAGATTTTTATATATTTTAAATTTGTTTTCAAGTTTTATACAATCCCATAGTCAGGAATAAATCATTGGAGACTAGAGGAGGAAACTGAAAAACTATGAATGGTATATTTCTTTTTTGAATTAGCAATAGGCCTATTAGTGAAGTCCTAGCCTAAAAAGAAGTAAAAGTAGCCTAAGTTTACATTATGAAAGTGAAAGTATATATTATATATAATGCATATGGGCACTACTGACTAAGCTGAGAGGGTTAGCCATCTCATAGTCCCTTTGTAGCTCCAGGCAGGGTTGTTTCTGGGTTGTTGGCTGCTCGGATGCAAAAACATTATTACCCTTATTAGTCAAAATTTTACATACAATAACAGTCTGCAGCTATCCAGGTGCAGGATACCTTTTGCACTCCAGGAATGCTCCTGGTTCCAAATCTGATTTTATATAGTTTACATATGAATATTTTATTTGCTGATTCAAAATAACACGGCATTTCGTTGATTCATATATAATACGATTATTCCCAAACACGAACCTATCAGCAAAAGGTGGCAATTCGTCATAGTGCTGTACTTCCCTTAAATCCATGTTTGTTTTGTGCAATTTCGGAAAAAATATAACATCATGAATGCCATAGGAAATAGCAACTTGGTTTGGCAAGAATTAACTTATAAATGCATGAACGGAGTGTGGAAGAAGTTATGGCTGAAGATATCCAAGAATTCTCATCAAGAAGAGCCTATCACTGTATCATTAGATTGACAAAATTGTCAACTTAATCAATACAGGAGATGTAGACAAGCAGGATATTGGGGAGTTACTTCAGGTTTCTGGAAAGAGCCTTCCTTATCAACGATGACTTCAAGAATTGGCAGAACAAGGAATTCATGTAGAACTGGAAAACTGAGAACCCAAAGAACTTGCTACAGATTTCTCTAGTAAAAGTTTGGTAACGATAACCGAAATCGTTGATCAAATTGTAACGAATGATCTAGATTTTGAAAGGAGTGCAAAAGCAAAACGAGGTGTTTTGGATGTGATGATCTTCTGCTACCAACATTTGCTTAAGGAGAGAAAAAGCGACAAATGAAACTTCATGACTTTATTGCAAAAAAGATGATTTTCAGAAAAGTCAGTACTTTTTATCACAAAAAATGAACTAATTAATATATATGTAAGCTGTAGCTTAGGGCCTAGAGTTTCAAGGGACCTCAAACATTTCTACTAAAAAGAAAATTGAAGTCAAATTTTGTAATAAATTTTTTTTTTATTTTTAGTTGCATGTTCCCCTATCCCTATTTACTCTGTTAAAATGGTTTGGTTTAACACTGTTTTGCTTAGCGCTTTGTCGTCTAGGAACTCATATCCCACATTAAGTTGGGTCTTACTGTATAATACTTTAAGTAAATCTTGTTGATTTTATTTAATAATAACTGATCAGAATTTATGCTTCCCATGTGATTGTAGTAAATATTTCCAGATCACATAGAATAGTAGAATTTTGTAAATGCTAATTTTTTTAGGGTTTGGAATATGGTGGTGTTTGTTTTTGGTTGTTAACTATTCAGTTGCTGCCAACTCTCAGTCATGCTATGGATCAGATCTTTTTAGGACTGTCTCTCTTAGCTGGCACAGAGACAGGCCACTGTCTCTGTGCCAGTTAAAGACCGTGAATGCAATTAGCTTTCTTAAATGAATTCTTGATTAAGCTGTAAATATTGAGACTTTGTATTGACCTGAACAAAGTAATTATTTGATCTTTTTTTTTTTTACTTGTAGATCTGTAATCTTTAGGAACCTTGATATAGTAGTACCAATAAATTAAATGACTTTTTCATTTGATCTAAAGATGAATTTGAAAGTAATGTTTGGTAAATGCTTCATAAAACATGCCAAAAGTCAGTATTGTCCTCATTCAAATAAGCTTATATCCAAAATAAAACATTTGAGATCTAAAAATGTTACGCCAAGTAAAAATTTATGACAATTTTGACCACAGCAAAAATTTTTCTTAGGAGTTTTTCTTTGGTAAAGATAAGTTTGGCACTTAAAGACAAAATGCAAGGTAAATACAGGTAAAAATCTTGTTGTTACCGCTTTCAAGTGCACTACCTAAGAAAACAGTTTTCTTTTGAATGTGATATTCAGAATTACTTCAGGTTTTTGGGGTGGACAAAGCGACCACCGAAAATCGGCAACTCCGATTTCCGTATATATATAAAGTAAGTTTTTTACTTGGCGGGGATTCACTGCCACGACTCCCGATTTTTGTATTAGTCTTAACAGGAAAACAAGATGTCACGATGCTCTTTTTGACAAGTTTAATTTCCTTTTCGATATCTTATTTTCTAGTTAAGAGTAATGGTTGTTTCATCAGATACTTTATACAAGATAATCCTATATAGGAGGAAACTGCAATGGGCTTTTTATAAACCGAAACACAGACTCGTTTTTAAATAATACGATTAATGTTGAAAGTTAACCTTACGTTGTTTGCATTTATATTCTCTATTATAGAAATTTGTCATCATTATTAGTTGCCTACTAGCATATAGAAAGAGCAATGTACTCGAAAACAATGTTTAAAATCACAAAACATTATTGGTTAAATGGAAAAGTTTCTGGAATTTTCTAGATCTACAGAATATTCGATTTGTTCTCCGACAGACGGAATTTAGAAGTTTCTTACAAGATACGTAAATGAATGATATCAAGGTGCACGGCCATAACCGGAAAGATATTCTGCGTGACAATACCAAGTTTTTAAATACATCAAATTTGCAAAGACGATCTTTACGATATCAATTTGGTATAAAATAAACTCAATCTTATTGCCGTATGGTGCAATTTTTTGATAATCACGTCTTCTCCGAGTCTACAATTTACGATTAGTAAATTTAAAGTTAAATAAGTTTTAGGGAAAGATACGTATTTAGAATTTTTAAAATAGCGAGATTTATGAGTTTCGTTAACGATCGAAATTCGAGACCATTTTTATGGTTAGAAAGTAATGCATATTTTTATACTATTAAAAATGCTTTTAAATGGATGACGATAAATATCTTCGAACCATATTAATTGTCTTAACATATTAAGCCAGCAAACGGCCAAGCGATTAGTTAACGAGAAAATACGCGAAAGTATTTCACGTAATTACTGTTCATTTTTTTTTTTTACAGAAATGGCCCGCGGAGATTTATTTTCGGAATTCATACAGAATTTCCAGATCCAGGATATTTCCAACGAGCAAACAAGGTAAATAACGTTTTCGTAGTTTCGTTGTTAAACGAGTGTCCGGAAACATTAGCTAGGAGTAAAAGCCATACATACGCACGAGGAGGGGTTAGCTCGTAATTTACCAAGTCAAAGGGTCTAATGCCGGCTCTCTACTTAGCGCGATTGGCGGAGCGAGGCCATCGCCGCCCTACGTGCTTACACACTTTACGCGAAACGGAAGGCGATTTCCGACCAATTATGGAAATTTCTTTTTAAATCTAATATTTGCACTTTTTCGAAATTTCCACTCCGGACCGTATAAGGTGTTAAGGACGACGTGGCCTACGCTGGGAATTACGGATTCCCTGTACTTTGGGGCCAAAGTACACGAAAGCGATTTTCCTACGCACGAACCATGACAGAGGTCATCGAATGGCCTGAAAATCGCGCTAAGGAGAGAGCCACGCCACGGTAACGGGGAATTGGACCTAACGTATTATCGGGTGGTGGGAAAAGTCGGCAGCCGTTTGGAAGCTTCCAAAAATTAGAAAGTGATAGGAAGAGGGTATTATCCCGCTTCCCCTAGTAGATAGTAAGGCGCTTACGTAAAGCAATAAAGGTAGTTTTTAGTTTTAAAACCGTCACGTTTCTCTTGGAAACGGCCACCAGCTTGTTCGGTGTATAAAATTTCGCTATAAAAGACTTTTTTAAAGGAATTTTTACTTATTTAAAAAGGCCGGGCACCGGAAGCCCACTCTTCGAAACGACTACCACCGAATTCGGCGGTGGCGCGTCCGCTTTGCCGGGACGAGTGCCCCAGGCCGAGTGGGGGCACCCGTCCCGGCCCCGATTTTGGTTTTCGACTGCTAAAGGGGAGATGGTTGCAGGATGTACCAAGATCCGGCGTCGTCGGCCCAGTCGTCCGACATGACCGACGTGGAGGTGGCCATCACGACGTCCAAGACCCCGGCCCTGTCCAGACAATCGAGCATGGGATCCCTGAGCGACATGCCCTCCAGACCCGGCACCAGCACTCCCTCCGAAGACTACACAGACAGCGAGTCCGAATCGTCCAGCGTCGGCGACCTCAACTAGCCGCGCCCCACTACACGCCTCCCGCCCGCCCCACCACCTTCATTTTATACATATTCATTTTCATTTTGCTTCCTGTGTAATTACGTCACTACAAACAACGCATTCGAGTTTTAATTTAAATTTTATTTTAAAGTAGACTCTCGATCGGTCCGCTACGGAATCCGAGCGCGGAACGACCACCCACGGCTTCGTACGGCACGTTATCGGGAAAAACGCACAACCGTTGGTTTCTGCGGTAGCCTCTTAACGCGTAATCCAAACAAATCAAAATTAATCGACGGGCCTTTCCCTTACGTTCGACACCGATTATGCAAATTTCCTTCGGCCCGATCAGTAAATCCACCGCATTTTGCCCGTGCCGCCCGCCGAGCGATTTCGGAAGCGTCCCGACGCGGAACCCACCGGAACCGCGCGTCTCACTACGCAATACTTCGACCACTTCCAGGACCAAGTTTCTAGAAATTCTCTCGTCTTTTCGGCGGCGCGAGCCGATAAATTATTATTGTTTGGTGATTTTGGGGGAGGCGCGGGTGACCCGCGCGTTAATTTTTTCGGGCCTCCTTCCGCCGTCGCTAATTGTGGGTCGCGCTGGGAGTCGACTCCGGACGCGGCCGGAAAGTACGTAGTGCCACTCGCCAATGTATATAATTGTTACCGATTTTTTTTAATTGTATAATCATTTTCAAATGTAGTACGTAATTTCCATTGTATTTGAATATTAATACAAATATATTAAAAGAGAGTAATATTTGACAAGATACTTTCGCCCCAAATAATTGTCGTTATTTTTTTTTTACGCAAACGGGATTCGTACCGACCTACGGACTGGTCGTCCGTTAATTTAATGCTTCGTTTCCTACTCAGTAGCGTTTCGACTCGGGTTAATCCGGTGTATAGCCACGTGCGCGTCCGTCGTCACCTTTCTCGATCGCCTCTCGGATCCGCGGACGTTAAAGCGTCGCTTCTTCCGTTTGTAATTTTTTGGTAGTTTTGAATTGTTAACTACGTCCTATCGTTTACCGTAGTTACGAGCGTTAAATATATGATTCAATAAAACTTAGAATTACCGACGTTCGGATTAAACATGCCATAAACCGATAACCATTTTGAATTTTGTTTTTTCTCTCCAGAACTGCCAAAGAATCCGTAGCCACTTTCACTCTGCGGGGCGAAGGTCGACGTGGCTTCCACGCGCCTTTCTCGCTTAATTCGCTAGCGACGCGCGAATAGCTTACCACCGTCGAAATGACCGATCGCGTTTCTGCGGGATTATTTCGGATCTTTACAACCGGCAAGTTGGGTTTTATCTGTATACGGTCGGGCGAAAGGCGGGCGATCGCTGCCTGCAGGTCTTTCGTGCGAAACCGGACCCGGATTGGCCAAATCGTATGGCGACTTACGACGACCGACGTCGTCGTAAGTTGCGATGCCACGAAATTCGGTATTACGAAACTTGTAACCGAAAGTGTCGTAAATAGGCGTGGTACGTACGACGTAATGGGTTGTAAGTCTAGACAATTTGAGACGACCGACGAGTATTTAGCTTTCTCCATCGATGAATTATACAGTTCGTAGAAAATTGATCGTTTTCCTCGTTCGTCGATCGAAGATCTTCGTTATAACCCGTTCGCACCGAGCATTTCGATCTAGATTGTGACCAAGGTCGGCGACTATGCCGGGTCCGACCTCTCTCGACCGTTTTAATCTCGACTGAAACGAGCTTCAATCGCGATCGACTCGAGAGTTCTTGAAACGGGGTGCGTTTTTTTACTCCGCGTGAGCGACATCCTTTTAAAAATTCCTGCGGAACGCGTTCCTAAATTCCGATCGGAGTGCGCGCCGTCGAACGCCAAAATCGGCCGCTTGTAGCAGTAGTTTACCGTCGTTTCTAAATGCCTACAAACAGCAGCGCACTCCCGTAGTAGCGGAGACGCAGAGCGACCGCTATTAAACGAAAGCACCCTACATCCAGTCATTAGAGATCCCACAATCACACGCGCGCGAGAAAATACAAGATGGCTGAGGATCATGTGTTGGGCTATCAACAGAGAAATAAAAAAAGACATCTGGAGAGACGATGAAATCTATTATTACATATATGGCAAGAAAAAGTATTTATTTATTATTTTCTTCAAAAAGAAAAAGTATTTATTTTTAACCAAAACTTCCATTTTGTTTGTTCGTGTTCGTGACTAATCGCGTAGTTATGTCAGTTTTATCATCGCGTATAATAGCCGGGTTCTCAAGCGAACTGCCTGTGCAAACAGCTCGACGTTCGTCTGGCGACAGTTACAATCCAGATTGTAGGTAAATCGAGATCGAAGTGAATCGTGGATTGTATGCGCACTTAGTATATTACGTTCGCACACGATTCAAACAAATTCCAAAACGATTCTGATTCGGGTGAAAACATTTTTCAGAGTTGTTTTGTGCTAATTTATGATTCTAAGGGTGTGACTACGCAGACGCGAATTTAGTAGCGAGCGATATAGTTCTCGCGAAAGTGATTTTGGAAGAGCGATCTTTCTCTATCGACCATACCGTGATACTCACTACGAAAGATGATAAGGTGTGTAAGGATCGAGTTATAAACTCCATAACGTAAGCGTATCCGTATAGCGCGGTTATAAACTCCGTATCGCATCCGTATTCAGTAAGAAAAGTTTGGATACGGAGAATTGACCAACTGCGCATGCTCTAAGTCGCCATCAGTCTATGTACAATCGGTAGTTGTGCCAGAAGCAACCGACGAAACTTTGACAAATTGATTGAAACGTAATTTTTGACCGACAGTGCTGCTTCTGAATAGTATAAAAAAATTTTGAGATAAGGATTACTTTGGTCATAATAAAATGAATAAATAATTATATTGTTAGATCTGGCAATAACTACCGATGATTTTGCGCATGCTCGCGATGGACTGCTTCGTAAACCGTAAAAAAGTTGTTACGGAAAGGTAAGTTTATAACTATTGCTATAGATATCCGGTGTAACAAACATTTACAATTAGAATTATAAACTCCGTAACGTAAGGCCAGGAACACGCGTAAAATCTAGCATAAAACAAATCGTAAAAATTTTTCCGAAATTTTGGTTGAAACACAACCGAAATCAGAGTAGTGTGTGTGTGTGTACTTTTTAAGCCAAAATTCCTCCAATAAAGAGAAGTCTGTTTTGTGACATCAAAGTAAACACGTGGTTTTTATTCTAACAAAGGCGGCAATGAAGGTTAGGTTTGTGATGCAACGTCCAAAGACTCAGAAGCGATGTTAAAGCGGAAACACTAAAATTCGGCCTATCCATTTTGCATGCCGGAACCCGTATGTTCGAGAGTTTACCGCATCTCGCCTATGAGTTGCCCGTTAACTCCTATTTTTTATCGAAATTTTCTGGAATTTTGCAGGAAGATCTGTGTATTAGAAAGATTCGTGGTATAAGGTCAACGGGGTGGTGAGATAAGAGAGTGGTCGGGTGTCGTAGGGTCGGACTTAATGACGATTTTAATGTTGTTAGCATTTACAACTTTTTTTAATATAAAATTCATCCTTACTCTCAAAATTAAGTTTTCTGCTACTTTATAATAGATAAAAATGTAAACAGTTTTTAAAAATGAAATATCATAACAGATAGATCCACCATGAATTTAAATGTTGCTGGATTTTTTACATTTAAATGGACCTACATTACATTTCTGGATTTCTCGTCTCGATTAATAGAAAATGGCAAAGTTTTATCAAAATCGATCCATTTTGGGAACGAGCTCGATTCCATAAGTCCAAACAAGACACGCTAGCGACCGCAAAACGTCGCACGACAAAGTCGCGCGCGCTGGCGAAACGATCTTATATCTCGAAAACGAAGTCGTGGACCCCCATTTTTACTGCATTTTTGGAATCTGCCATTTTCCGTTAATTGCCATGCGAAGTTTAATTATTATTTTATCTAATAATAATAATAATTATTATTATTATTATTCGATATGTTGAAATTGTACGAAAATGCGTAAAATTTAGATTATGCCATTCGGAGGTTTGTTTTGCATCAGATAAGAAAAGTTGCGAAAACTTTTCCGTCGTAAGCGGGGTTTTAAAAATATTTTCTTATAAGGGGGGTTTTAGATAAAAAGTTTGAGAATCTGACGTAGAGGAACCTAATAATACTTCTATAGACAGAAGACATAAGTGTAACGGATCGTTACGGCCGTAAGATTGGCAACTTTGCTCGGGTCTGATCCAAGACGTTGCCCTCCCGTGACAGAAGAATAGAAATTAAAACGTCGGTCGACATCCGGATGCTACGCCTCGAAAACATTCGTCTCGCATCAGATACTCGGTAGTCAAATCGACCGTACCAAATTTGGCCCTCCGAGTTTTTTTTTTTGCAAATCTCCACGTTTTGAGACCCCGAACCCAAAAGAAAAAATACAGTAGACCCCCCCTATAACACGGTAGATACGNTCTTACAATAAAACTCCAAATAAACAATGATACTCACCCCTTAAGATATAGTTTTTATATATCTTGTCTTAAAAAACGATTAATACTCACCTTGTCGGTCTATTGGTTTAAAACTTACCTTGCGACGACTGTAAACGCGTCTTCCGTTATATAACAGTACGGTTTTATAATTACAAATACCATATTTAAATATACCTAAATTCTTGTTTCTGTTACCGAATTAAGAACTTATATTATCAAATATTTACAATGTACAATCCATATATTTAAATATAAGCATCTTAATCATTACACAATTTTCCTAAACTATGAGGAAATCCACTCGAAAATGTTTGGTTTAATGACTAATTTACCAAGAGTTAAAGTCTTTGGCTATAAGAATTTCTCTTTACACTAGCTGAGAATAAAAATGTAAGGTTATTGTTTTTCTTTTTGTTTGAATTAATTAATGTTTTCCCCTTCTTGATTACAAAAAGATAAAATAAAGGGATTTGAAATTTAGTTATTATTAGTGATTTAAACTGACAAATTTACTGCCGACTTAATAGTAGGAAGCAACTAAATAAAACAAACTGGACTATTGAAAATGCATTATAAACTGAGAAGAAAAGCTGCCACTGTCTAAAAGAATAATGATGATTAATAATCTAGACATTTTTAGTTATTCCAACTAATTATTGTCTAAAAGTGTCTTGTGTTTATTTAAAGTGAATACTAAAATAATTTATAAAGATAAGACTATCATTTTTGAACTATAAAATTTTGCAACAATTAATAGAGGTACCAACTAACTGACATTAGGAATAAAAAGAAAATGCTTTAACTAATAATTTTTTGATTAAAAAAAATTTGAAAAAATTTTTGAATGAAGAATCAAAATAAATGCAATAAAATATGTTTATATACAAAGAGTTTATTTGAATAATTTTATATTTTGAATTCCCTGCCATTATTTTTTTCTTTGTACACAATTACCAAAAAAATTTATATTTTTCTACACTTTAAAATTGACTTTAATTTATATCTGTTTGTATTTTCAAAAATGACTATGCATGAAAAAAGTATGAGATTATATTGAGTGATTTCATCATTTTTAGTTTAAAAATCCCCCATTACTATTATCTAAAATTTTTTTAAACAAAAACATTACAATAGAATTTACATTTTTAGACAAAATTATCAGAATTTCACTTATAACTAAACCTTTTCTTTAAGTAAAAAAAAAAGCAAAACACTCTAAAACTTATTTATGACCTCCATTTGATTGCTACGGATATCAAAGTAGTAAAATATTCTGTCAAAATAATTAATATTACATTATGTAAATTATACGTGCAGCCTAGTTAATTATCAAAATGTTTTCCACAGATCTTTGATATATATGATAAGTCTGTTATTCTTATATTAAAGAATTTTTAAAATAAATTTAAAAATTAATAAATAAAAATTGAAAATTAACACACTTTTAGGAACTTTTTAAAGTGGTGTTTAAATGTTTAAATTTTCCTTCATGTCTAAAAGTCATTTTCATTTGTGAAATACTTATTGCTAATTTTAATTTTTGCAGACTTTTGTAAATTAGTAGATTACAGAATGGTGCAAAATTAAATTTAGCAAGAATTATATGAATGTCAGTCTGAAAATCACTGGTCTATAGCAATCCAATAAAGATCAATTGAAATAAATTAAAGCTCTATTTGCTTGAGTACAGACATTCCAACTTCACTCAAGAATAATTTTATCTAAGCAATATTTTTAATATCCACAAAAACTGGACATTAGAAATAAAACTTTTTTGAGAATTAAAAAATTATTACCAAAACGTTTATAAATTTGAATTTCTAACTTAAATTAAAGATTTATAACAACAAAATTACGACATTTTTAGACAAATACCTTTGGATAATACTTATAATGTATTGATACATACGATTTAATCATGGCCTTCAATGCAATCTTTCTTTCCCTTTCTGCAACCCAATCAATCAAATAACCTGCCATTTTAGGAGCTGATTGATACAATTTAAAAAATTTATGATAATTATTTAATACCCATGCAGATAACAGTTGTAACGAGTGGGCAATAACTTCATTCTTTTTGTCCGTCGGGCTCAGACCGGCTACCAACGAACGAAGTTCTGAAATCGTGTAAAATTTTTTATTAAGTTTCATTATTTTAAATGTAACAGAGAAAAGGTTATAATTGTTATGATAATGATAAGTTAGGGAAACTTACTTATTGTAAATTAAGATATTAAGTATGCAAGATGTTGCTTACTGAACATAAGAGAAAGGGAGAAAACAATAGTGATATTACGATACTAAATTTTTTTTCTAATTAAATCTGATCAGTAGTCAAAATTCTAGAATAAAGTAGTTCACTGCATGCATTCTCACTAATATTTTGGAAAAAGCATTCCTCAATTTATATTTAGCTTGAAGATCATAAATTAAAGTTGCACTATTCCAAAAATGATTCTTAAATTTTAAAAAATAAAATATACTTGCATACTTTTTATTTTGAAAATGTTAGCAATAATCATTTATTGGTATCAAAATTTTCAATGATAAAATAGTATTTAAACAAAACAAAAGATATTGCCAGATTTTAATTAAGCTGTAATATGGCTAATTAATTATAAAGAAAGATTATTAAGTATAATTAATTAACCAGGGAAATACTTTATAATTAATTAATTATAAAGTATATTAAAGTATAAAGTAATTAATTATAAATTATTTCCATGGAATTTGAATGTAAAAGTGCATTATTTTTCTTCTTTTTATTTGGTGTAATGTTTCAGTCAATCCTTCAGATGCATTAATTAACTCTATGGCTAACTTGGTTATGGAAAACATGAAAAAGATAGAAGTTATTGCATCTCACTTGTGAAATAACTTCAGTTTCTTAATTGTGATGTCTTCATTGTTATTTTGGCCTTTTAATATAACTTTTATGTATTTTTATCGTGTGAGTTTAACTGGAACACCAACTGAATGGGAACTAATTTAGAGTCCGAAATGCATTTTGGGTATATTTTATATATTTTATACATATTAGTTTTATTATTTATTAGTAATTATTGTAAAATCTCTTTGTTTTGTAAACTTAAATATATATTAAATTTAAGAAATTTTTGTGTTCATACTCACTGGTGTGATAAGCCCTAACATAAAAAACATTTCTACTAACTTAAACCAGTTAAATTATAAAGATATATAATTTGAACTAAAGGTAAGCAGTTATGCCACATATAGCATTGAAGTTAATACAATAAAACCTCAATTTAACAGAATTAAATTCCTGAATTAAACCTTAATTCAGGAAAGGAGTGGCTGTTAAAGCCAAATTCCATTATATAATAAAGTAGGTTTTACAAATGCATATGTTCTAAACTAACTAATTTGTCAATTTTTCCTGTTTTTACTTACCTAGATGTGTTTGCATAATTTAAACTTCTGATATATAATTTTATTTCACAAAAAAGTTTTCTACATGTTTTATTGCTTATGTACTTATGATAGTTGTGAGACTGTAATAAACAAGTATACAATCTAAATCAAAATAAATAACCATTTTTGGAAAATACATTTTATGAGAAGTGACTCCGATTTGAAAAAAAAAAACCCTGTTAAAATGCTTTTTATATAAAATTAAACTAATTTTAACTCTGGAAAAAAGATTGATTTGAGTGAAACTCAAACTTGCAATTCCTGCTTGCCATGCAGGCAGGAATTGTGAGTTTGTTTCCAACTACACTACTCAGATCTCTATGCAATCTTTGCTTCCATACCAAATTAATTTAAAAGATATAAACTGTGAACGACCTGTATGGATACATCTAAATTAATTGCTTTGGAAGTGAAAACTGGCACAAGATTGTGGCAGCTTAATCATCCACTTTTAGTTGAAATTATATATCTTTACAATTAATTAGCCATATTATAGCCTGATTAAATTCTGGTAGGATCATTTGTTTATAACTATATTTACTTGGTTCATATATAATTTTATTTAATACCCTTCCAAAAATGAAAATCAAATATTATAGAAAAATGATTTACTTACCAAGAGTATTTTTGGTAAAAATATAATATATAATGTGATATCCAGTAAATTCAAGTTTATTGCCCATTCCCGTTTCAGAATACAAAGCTTTTAACTGAGTTTGACACTGATTGAATTCTGCATGGTCACCCTAAAATTATGTAAATTATTTTAAATTAAGAAACATTTTTTTATTTCTTAAACAAAATTATTTTAGATTTAAATTATTTATTTAGAATATTGGAAATTTTTAAAAATTTAACATGAACATATCCAAAACCAAAATAACATATCAGACATTTATCCCATTTGAGAAAAATGTATAAATCTGTTATTTATTGTTAACTTTTTGTCCATATATGAATATGAAGTAATTTGTGCCAAAATAAATTAATAGTTTAGACATAAATGCAGTACAATATGGTAAATTACGTAGGATACAACTTTTTGTAAAAAAGAACAGTTGCCCTAAGTCTTATATGTAAAATTATAATCTATAGGCTAATGAATTCCTAAAATAGCCTTCAGTATGCTAAACTCTAATTTTTACCTAACTCAACTCTTTAACAAAAATGTTATTGTCTAACTAAACAATAATAATACCACTACTAGTTTTAATTATTTAAAGCAGAATTATTCTTAATATTTTTTCAATAATTTAAGGTGATTATCAATAGATCAATTGTCATGTGCATCCAACTCTAATCAATACCGCGTACTACTATTTATTTCAAACCTTGTCACAGTTATTTTATTATGTGAGATGGTTTAAATACATTAAATACTATTTTCCTAAATATTCTATGATGATATGGAAATGCATCTTATATGTGATAAAATATGGTAAGGATCCAGTTCAAACTTTGTTTCAGGAGTAAATGTTTTATATACAGTAGAGCATAGATCATCCAAGTATCGATCAACTGAAACGTCAATTAACTGAAAGCTTTCCAGTCGGCAAATTTAAATTCCCACTAGTGCTGTGATACTACAATCTTTGGCTATGTCTTGGGCTACTCCAATATTATTTTTGTTGCTGTGCGTATTTTAGCTGGCAGCACTGGCACAACCATGAGAGGGTACTTAAGGATGTGCCAGGATTTGAACAAATTTCAACATGAGATAGGTTAATATATTTTTTTGTACATAATCGGTTATCCGAAAAATCAACCCTAGTCCCCAATTGATTCAGATAATCGATGCTCTACTGTATATATAACATCTGGAAGATGCATATTATTTTTACTAATAAAAGTGAAAAGAGATTTGAACAGTAAAAATTTCCATTACATAAATTGTAATAAATCCAAAACAGAAAAATTTAATTAAATTAATTCTAAACATTTCAAATAAAAATAATTATGTGATAATTTTATACATTTAAAAGTATCAAAATGCACATCAATGGCCAAGTTTAAAAACATTGGAATTCAGAATATCAATAAAGTTAGTATATAATAAATATATACACACACACACCTTTTCTAATGCTATTCTAGCATGAGTTTCATATACTTGAACGGTGAAGTTGTCCCTAATTCCTTGAACCTATTTAAAATACTCTCGACATTATTAAAAATATAAATACTTTCAATAACATATTTATTGACATAAGATCAAAATGATTATAAAAAAGAAAAAATATACAAAATTCAATTAATTAAAATTCTTATGTTTAATGTACTTGTAACTTATTTATGTATGTGTTTTAGCTTGTTAAGCTAAAGATAAGGTAATAAAAGAATTATTTTATAGTTAATATCTGGAAACAGAAAAAAAACACGGAATTAAATTATTCCTAATAATACACTCATATCCAAAAAATAAGCATAACCGTCCAATCCACAATAGAAGTTTGGGCATGGTCTAAAAAAGTAATTTCTATCAGATTAGAATTTGGAGATGGCAGGAATTTTGATGCCAGGGGCATATCCAGGTGGAGTGTTTATGGTACTGCAGCATCTCTTGATACCAAAGTGACCAGTTTAGTTATTTTAAAATAAAAATAAATATGGCAACACATACATGATTTGAATTAGATAATTTTAAAGCAATTATAACTGAAATACTTTTAAGGTAATCAAGAAACATTCTCCAATAAACTACAAGTGCAAGTGTCTTAGTCCCCTGCATTTTCAGAATATGGGAGTTGCCTTGAGCAGCTCCCATATTCTGAAAATCCCAGACATGCCATTGCCCAATGCAGTCTTACAAACATCATGAAAAAAGACCTGTTTGCAGATAGTGATATCATGATCTAGGGTTACATTATGCTTTATAGTTGCACCGAGCTTTACATTTTTGCAAGGTGCCATTACTAAAAGAAGGTACAGTACAGTACATAAACAAGGTGTTGTGGATGCAATTTCATTTTTGTGAATGATGATACTTATACACTTAGGGCTCACCAGTTACTTTCTTGAGAGTGGAGATTGTTGGTTATATCATGTTACAAATAAATCTTCAGATGTAAATCCTATATAATATGCATGGGATGCTCTAGGGCAGTGTTCTGCAACCTTTTTCTACTCACGGCACACCTAAGATTCGACATGACTCAACACGGCACACCAAAATGTTATTCCCCTCAAAAATATATGGTATGATACTATTAATAGAATTTTGTAATGCCTTAAACCTATTATTATTATTATTATGTTGAGTTTTGTGAGTTACACTCCGTTGACACTGATGGTTGTGTACTATGCCGGACCAGAGTCAAGACATAGTAACTTCAAAACAAGACAAAAATTAAATAAGTGTGTCGGTGTGTGTCTGTATTCAGGAATTTCTTAACAATATGGCACATATTCAATATAGTGGTCTTCTGTAGTGTGATGTATGTGTTTCTATTCAATTTTAACTTTCCCAAACTTTTGTGTAGCATGTGTGGTATGACGCCTGTAGAGAACAACAGGTACAATAAGCATCCTATCCATCCTCCATAGATGCCTTATTTCCTGGGCGAGTTCTGTGTACTTGCTGATTTTTTCAGTGCATGAGTTTTGTACATTTTGGGAGTGTTTGGAACAGATATGTCTATAATGTATGTGATTTTATTGTGTTTCTCAATGAGTGTGATGTCTGGTCTGTTGTGGTAAATTGTTTTATCTGTGACTATGGCTGTTGTAGTAAATTTTGTGCATGTTGTTTTCCAATACTGTCTGTTGAACATATTTGTAGTATGGTTCGTGGATGTCTAATAATTTGTGTTTCTTTGCAAGCTCTTGATGTATTTGCTACTTAATTGTCTGTGTAAATAATCTGTCTGTGCCAAGAGCTTGCAATCAGAAGTGATGTGTTGTATGGTGCCTGGCATGAAGTGACGTTTTCTGCATGTATCGTTTGTGATTGTTATATTTTTGAGTATGTGTTTTCTGTAGTTTTTAGTATTTATGACCTGATCCTGTATGGCAATCATGAAACCTTCCATCTCCCCAAAGAGGCATCCCTGAGCTAACCAGCTGTTTGATGCAGTTTTGTTAACAAAATCCTGGGCCAGGTCAAAAGGATGCATGGCAGGCCATGGAGTGCCTATCATACTCATGATTGCTTAATGGTGTCTATGTTATTTATATGTTATGTTGTGTCCATACGTTGTGAATGTAAATTTAATGGTTGTATTGTTTGAGTTTGCTAGAGTTACTGCTTTATGTAACTGTGACATTTCTTGTTTTTTGTAGAAAAACTCTCGCAATGTCTGTATTCGTTTATTATGGAGGTTAGCTATGTTGATCAGCCATGTCTGCCATCTTTACATGGAAGGGATATCTATGCAGGGTCTTTCTATGGCAGATTTAGGATGATGTTGTTTATGCTTAGTAAGTATTGTTCTTGTTTTCATTTGGAGTTGCTCAAGACCTGTGTGAGTCCAATGTATAACTCCAAAAGAATAAGTGAGTACTGGGACGACATATGTGTTTATTGCTTTATCATCATCTTATTTCATCAGTGAATAAAATACAAGCATAAGAAGCACAGCAATTGTAATAAAAATATATAAATAAAACTTGAAATTAACAGAATATGTAAAAGTTCACATCACACCTTTCACCTTGTGATGGCACACCGGTTGTGGAACACTGCTCTAGGGTGACAAGTTGCATCTAATCAGCCTTCACCAAGAACACTCCAGGAGCTTCAAGATGCTCTTTGCTCCCAACAGAGCTGATAAACACAATTATAACTGATATGAACAATCACTATGCAACATGCATGAAGAAGGCAACCACATGCCATATTAACTATTTCTGTGCAAAAACATTAGAATTCTTCTTGTTTTTTATTTGACATAATTCAGATTAAATTATTGATTTTCAACTATTTTGTTGCATAAAGAATACATGTTCTGTTCTTATTTTAAGTTTCATGCTGTTCTGATTAGAAGTTCCCAATATATAGGCTTAATTAATTAATGATTATGCTTGTTTTTTTTTTTTGGACATGAGTGTAGTTCAGCATTTATGCAAACTATCAAATACATATTAAATTTGAAGTTTCTTAATGAATTATTAAATGCTGGAAAACTATAGAAAATATTAATATATGCAATTATATAATAAACATATCCTTTTCAGAATTATAAACTGAATTTGCAGTCAAATTATTTTTAGAACTCTGACAACAAATCAAGTAAAATCTTATTTCATTTTAACTGCAAACAAAGTTTGGAATATTAAATTACCGAAAATTAATTACCGTTAAATCCTGACGAATGGATTTCAACTGGTCGCATGCGTAGTGATAATCTTGATGTTTTATCCAGTGATCCCGCACCATAACAAGCGACTGCCGAAGAATATCGACTGGACGAATTGTTGAAGGATCTGGAGCCTGTAAAAGTCATTAATCAAATTTTAGTAGTTTTTAGATTACTAAATGAATCAATGATATAGATATAGATAATTATATTATAATTTTTATTTTCACTTACAGTTGTTAACCTAAGATACTGTTTTTCAATGTCCTTTGATGTTCCTACAATATTGCATGCTTCTGAATCAGTTTTTTCACTAGCCTGCAAATTTTCCATATCTTAGTTTCTCTGTTTAAACGATTCATTTTCAAAATTGTTAAGTAATTTTTACCGTTAAATTATTTATTGTTAAAACTATAGATTGTGTTTTTCCTTTCTTTCCAGAACTATCTGTTTGGAATCTTGCAGCTCTCTTTTGCAATCTTTCAGATGATGAAAATTCTACTTCCATTCCAAAGTTACTGAAATATATATACAACTATAAAGATAAAATTTGTGAAAAATCTACATTATTAACTATCAATTATTAATATTCAACATATAAATTTTAACAATCGAATAAATCAACAAAAACTGGAAAAAAATATATACAGAGTTTGGGAATATAGCTAAATACTGTAACAATGAGATACTTTAAGAAATGCAGAATCTAATAACTTCCTACATCTGCTTATCACCAGCTCTACATGAATCTCCTTTTATTGACAAAGTGTATGTTTCTTTGGCAACCACATTTGAATTCAAAATTTTCTTACAATCCACTAATTATGTCATTTTAGTTTTTATCATCGCCATTCAATAGAATCAATCAGTTTTTTTTTTTTTTTACAAAATCTTATTGGTGAGTAAAATTGGTGAAAAAAATGTTTATATTTATGAGGTGATTAGAAAAATAGACATTATGTATTGTATTTTGCAGTGTAATTTTCGATTGGACTGTAGTAATAAAACCAATTGATTTTCATAAATGTAAGTGGTAGAAATTCAAAAATTATTATAAAATTATATCTTGAATTGAAAAAATTTACTCGATAATGTTATCTGTGGTGGACAGAATTTTCCACTACAGATTAAATATACTAATTTTGTCAGATGGCACATACTTAAATTCAGATGATAAAGTTGGATAAGTTACGATTATGTTGCTGCAATGGAGAGAACTTGTTTGTGTTTCAGATTTGAGTCAACAGAAGAGATGCATCTCTTTCATTAATAACTGAGTTTTATTCTGACCTGATATGACACTACCCTAGAGAATTCTCTGGTAACTAAGCCAGAATATTAATTTTCTAAAAAAGCTAAAAAAATAGAAATACTCCTGATGTACTTCAAGTACAACCTATCAAAACATTTTGGGTACACTCTAAATCAGTGATGCACAAACTATGCCCCTGGGCCAAATCTGGACAAGGTACTGTACATGTTAATTTGGCACACAAACACATCATTTATATATATATGGAATATATAAGTGATGTGTTTGTAAATATATAAAATATTTAATATTTGTGGCCTGCCTAAATACAACTTATGTGCAGTTTGGTCCACCAATCAAACAGTTTGAGCACCAATGCTCTAAATCAGCAGTTCCAACCTTTTTGTGGCTTGTGTACCCGTTGGCAGCCCATTTTCCTAAATTGTAGCCCTTATATTAGAAAAATGTTTGTACTTTATATAGTTGTATTTTAAACTTGTTGCAATTGTAAATAAATAACAGTGACATGGCAAGGAAGGTGGACAGGGCCACCGAATTGATGAAGATTAAAAAAATTATCTGTATAGGTACAAATGTTCAGTGTTTTATCTACTTTTTTACTTATCACACCATTGCTCTTTAAAGTTGGTTAATAAAAAGAAACTAATAATAAATTGTATATATGTATCTAAAACTGAAAAGATAATTTATTGAATTCAAGTTATGTGATGTTGCCAAAGGTCTCAACGCTGAATCTGAATATCATTATAGTACTGTACATCTGCCATTATTAATTTTTCTTCCTGTACCCCTAAACCACCAAGTGCACACCCCTAGTTGTAAATCACTGCTCTAAATGATTTAAAAAAAAAAAAAAAACTTAGAATGTCAATTCTTTCCAAATATGGAAGCCAACTGCCAGGAAAGTCACTGAAAATCATGACTTAGTAATTTTATGAGATATGAAAAAAAAAAATCCTTTGTAGGATCAGAAGGAAGGAGTTTAAGTGCTACTAAGAATATAAAATTGAAGGTAAATAAAAGGATAAAAAAACAATCATTAATAATAATAATAATAATAATAAATATATATATCTTGTTTGTTCAAGTCTTGCTAGATCATGGACATCTCTTATTTATACAGAAAAAATTAAGCAACTGAAATATTTAATGTACATATTCACAACACCACAGTCACACCTCAAATTTTAAACACCCCACTTTTCAAACAATTTGGTTTACAAACAAAATTTTGAACTCATATTTGTCATGGTTGCCAAACAAACTACCCTCAAAAATCAGCCACAGATTAGAGACACATACGATTAACTTCCTACACTTCCTATGTTGATGAAAGTCGCCAGCCTGACCAATCAATGATGGGACTACCGATTCAGAAGTTAGTGACACCAAAATTCCCTCATGTCATTAAATATCACAATACAAACCCTCAATGACATTTCTACTTAAATTAGATTTCAACATGCATGTGGGAAAGATACTACTTCTGTTTTTCAATAATCTAAATCAAATTAATTAATATAAACTGCATTAATTGACATTCACACAATATAAATGGCATCCACGAATTTGTATTTAAATATGCTTAAGTTAAATTAAATAACAAAAATTTATTAATATAATATTAATATCAGATAGCCAGTTAATTAAAACTGAAAATAATAAAATAATAATTAAAATTCTGGCCTTTACTCCAAAACTGAAACTAAAATTAAAATTGAAATCAAATCAATTGAAATGTAATATTTTTCACAAATAGTGGATAAAGTACTTGTCTGTCTCCACTGATTTCCTTATATTTCATCCAGGCAATCAGAATTCAATCTTTTTTATAGCATTTGTTTGTAAAGTGTTAGTTTCAGTTTTAGTTGGCAGTGACAAAACATTTTGCTTTTAATACATGTATATATGTATTAAAAGAATGTAGAATAAATGTATAGAATGTAGAATATTATGAATATTCTACATTATATATATATATTCTACATTCTACATATATTCTATATATATATATAATGTAGAATAGACATAGATAATATTTTATTGCATTTGGTAGGCATTTTTATGCATGAAATACAGTTAAAAAACAAAAATAGGTTTTGTTTTGGGGGGGTCAGAAACAGATTTATCCATTTTATATTGTTTCTTGTGGGAAAATTTATTTTGGTTTTAGAACAAACCGTTTTCAAACAACTTTTAGGAACAAATTAAGTTTGAAAACCAAGGTTTGACTGTATATTGATTACCAATTAAAAGTATTTTAATGCTGATCATTAATCAGCTAATGAAACTAAAGATAAATATCAACAGGTTGTTATAATAAACTTAAAAAAATTACTTTTTATTCTTATTTTTCTTAGACTTCTTTCCTTGTCCAGAACCATTTCCTCTACCACGTCCACGTCCTCTACCCCTACCTCGTCCACGATTTAAATTAATAGATGGCCCTATAATAGAACTAAGACCATGTTTCTTCATTTTACTTTCAGTACTGTCATCTGAGTTAGAGGAATCATTACTGTCGCTGGCAACATATTTAAAATATATTAGTTAATAAATAAATGAATAATTTATGCATATGCACACATATATATGTATTTTACCTGGAATGTCGTTTCTTCTTTGATTTTCTTTGTGGTGGACTCCAAGATTTTGATCTTGATCTAGATTTAGAACATGATCTGAAAAAATTTTTTTATAAGTATTAAAATATTAAAAATAACTTACTCTTGTATAATGATCTAAATATTTTCTAATAAATTAATAGTTGAAAAATCTAAATTAATTATAATTATTAGTATCTTTGACTGAAACGATGTTGTTATCATCATGTTATCTGTATTCAATAATATCCAAATACTTAATTATAAATTCTAAAATTCAAGTCAAACGTTAATTTTAGTTAATTTCAGGGCCTCCATTCTCGTTCATTTTCAACAGCTCTACTTCAGTGTCCCGTGTTGCAGTTTGCATTTTTGTTGTAATTTACAACAGTTCTTTGTACACGATATTAAATTCATAAACTAAATATTAACTGATTCAAAAATTTAATTTTTTAACTGTTTAGTATACTAACACCAATATCTCAAATAAGATTTAGTCAATATTCAACAACAAACAAATTTTTAAAACTTTAAAGACAATAAAAATTTTACAATGTACTAATAACAAAGAATTCTAATAATAAAATAACAACTTTTTATGATAAATATATTTTCTAAGAAAAATATACCCTTGTTCATATTTATTATTATATTCATTTTATTCATCTATGCATTTTTCAAGTCTTTCATTATAAATTAAGTATAATTCTTTGCATTAGATATGCATTTTACACATTCAAAATCCAAAAATCTATGTAACTGAAAGTATTACCTTTCTTGAGTATTCCTTGGAGATTGATTTCCTTTCATTCTTTGTTGAAAGTATGCATCATTTGAATTTGACATTGTGTAATAATTTTGTTCTGTTGTAGCATTAACGGACTGTTCTCTTTCTAATCTTTCACTATGGATGCTAGAGGAAAAAAATAAGCATGTTGAAAATATAGATAAACACCCTAAAAATTTCACTTGTAATAAAAATATAATTTCTACACATACTTATTTCTTAAAGAAAATTCACAATATATATACATTTGTTTTTTGTAAACAAAGACATGTCAAATCTTGCACTTGTACACAATGCATGTCATTTATATGTTGCAATAACCTTGTAAGCTTTGCAGTTAATTTTAGAAACATAACACTAATGTTTTCAATCCACCCTAGGACTGTCTTCANCTTTACTCCAAAACTGAAACTAAAATTAAAATTGAAATCAAATCAATTGAAATGTAATATTTTTCACAAATAGTGGATAAAGTACTTGTCTGTCTCCACTGATTTCCTTATATTTCATCCAGGCAATCAGAATTCAATCTTTTTTATAGCATTTGTTTGTAAAGTGTTAGTTTCAGTTTTAGTTGGCAGTGACAAAACATTTTGCTTTTAATACATGTATATATGTATTAAAAGAATGTAGAATAAATGTATAGAATGTAGAATATTATGAATATTCTACATTATATATATATATTCTACATTCTACATATATTCTATATATATATATATAATGTAGAATAGACATAGATAATATTTTATTGCATTTGGTAGGCATTTTTATGCATGAAATACAGTTAAAAAACAAAAATAGGTTTTGTTTTGGGGGGGTCAGAAACAGATTTATCCATTTTATATTGTTTCTTGTGGGAAAATTTATTTTGGTTTTAGAACAAACCGTTTTCAAACAACTTTTAGGAACAAATTAAGTTTGAAAACCAAGGTTTGACTGTATATTGATTACCAATTAAAAGTATTTTAATGCTGATCATTAATCAGCTAATGAAACTAAAGATAAATATCAACAGGTTGTTATAATAAACTTAAAAAAATTACTTTTTATTCTTATTTTTCTTAGACTTCTTTCCTTGTCCAGAACCATTTCCTCTACCACGTCCACGTCCTCTACCCCTACCTCGTCCACGATTTAAATTAATAGATGGCCCTATAATAGAACTAAGACCATGTTTCTTCATTTTACTTTCAGTACTGTCATCTGAGTTAGAGGAATCATTACTGTCGCTGGCAACATATTTAAAATATATTAGTTAATAAATAAATGAATAATTTATGCATATGCACACATATATATGTATTTTACCTGGAATGTCGTTTCTTCTTTGATTTTCTTTGTGGTGGACTCCAAGATTTTGATCTTGATCTAGATTTAGAACATGATCTGAAAAAATTTTTTTATAAGTATTAAAATATTAAAAATAACTTACTCTTGTATAATGATCTAAATATTTTCTAATAAATTAATAGTTGAAAAATCTAAATTAATTATAATTATTAGTATCTTTGACTGAAACGATGTTGTTATCATCATGTTATCTGTATTCAATAATATCCAAATACTTAATTATAAATTCTAAAATTCAAGTCAAACGTTAATTTTAGTTAATTTCAGGGCCTCCATTCTCGTTCATTTTCAACAGCTCTACTTCAGTGTCCCGTGTTGCAGTTTGCATTTTTGTTGTAATTTACAACAGTTCTTTGTACACGATATTAAATTCATAAACTAAATATTAACTGATTCAAAAATTTAATTTTTTAACTGTTTAGTATACTAACACCAATATCTCAAATAAGATTTAGTCAATATTCAACAACAAACAAATTTTTAAAACTTTAAAGACAATAAAAATTTTACAATGTACTAATAACAAAGAATTCTAATAATAAAATAACAACTTTTTATGATAAATATATTTTCTAAGAAAAATATACCCTTGTTCATATTTATTATTATATTCATTTTATTCATCTATGCATTTTTCAAGTCTTTCATTATAAATTAAGTATAATTCTTTGCATTAGATATGCATTTTACACATTCAAAATCCAAAAATCTATGTAACTGAAAGTATTACCTTTCTTGAGTATTCCTTGGAGATTGATTTCCTTTCATTCTTTGTTGAAAGTATGCATCATTTGAATTTGACATTGTGTAATAATTTTGTTCTGTTGTAGCATTAACGGACTGTTCTCTTTCTAATCTTTCACTATGGATGCTAGAGGAAAAAAATAAGCATGTTGAAAATATAGATAAACACCCTAAAAATTTCACTTGTAATAAAAATATAATTTCTACACATACTTATTTCTTAAAGAAAATTCACAATATATATACATTTGTTTTTTATTTATTAAGTAAAGATACTGTGGCCATTTGGCCTTTTACAAGCGAGTATAAACAAATTTAAAAGAAAACCATATATTATAAATTTTAAATTCTATTAACATTGTTTAGTATATAGTTATAAGAATTAAAAATCCAGACTTTTGTAAACACTATACATACAAAGTGTTTCTAAAATTCTACATTCTTACATACCAAAAAATGTTGATAGATTTAAATTTTTATAATCTATATAATTAAAATTAAATGAAAAATCGTGCATGAAAATACACTTAAATCATTGAAAGAATACAATGCAGAAATAATTTTCTCGTTAATTTGAAATATGGTAGAGCTATTTATAATAATTTTGTTCAATCAAACTAAACAATCTGCTAAATTATCAGGTTATTACATGGTTAATTTAGTGATTAGAAATTAATTAACTTCCCTAGAGGTAGGCAGTTATGCTGCCATTTTGTGTTAATTTTAATAATGATCATATATAACACTTCATGCCAGTGTTCAAATAAATAAAATAATTAACACTTCAGTGTTGTGGTGTTGCAAATTGTGACTTTTTACATTTTAGACATATTTGCTAGCACTTTCAATAGCTTATAGCTACTGTCCTCAGGCGGAAAATTGAATACAATTATTTTCAAATGTTCTGCTTTTGAACATATTTTTGAAATTATCTAATGCATGTGGATGGAATTTAGAATAAATCGATTTTAAAAAATGAAAAATATTCGAAATTTATAAAAATGTACTGCAAATGATGTAATATCCCCAAAAATACTTAAAAAGCAATAAAGTAAGCGGTATTTGGTTATGGTACAAATGAGAATGCAAAATCATAATTTAAATTGTTTGAATAATATTATCCACAGTCGCAGGATTTCTAAGGTCAATGTATTGCATGGTGTTACAGTGGATATATAGGGGTTTTTCCATATGAATAATTCTCTTTGATCGTTGCACCACTTAAGTAATTTTGTTTGTGCCCAAAGCTGTAGATAATTTTGGTCTAGTAATAGTACCTTTTAATAGACCAACAATGGAGTTAGCTAAAAAGGCGCATTGCCAGTTAACTACCCAGGACTCTTCCTAATCTTCATTTCCAGAACTATTAATTTAAATATAACCTACTAGTTACTCATAGCACCAACTGGAAATGACTTCAGTGCCCATGGCTAATTGTTTTTGGAATATTTGACAGAACATAAACTTTTAATAAAATTTAATATTTTTCATTTTTTCTACTCTGTGGGCACTAAGATTACTACCTTTTTAAATAATACCCATTATGGACTTGGTCAGGCCCATAATTGGGACAATTGAGTGGCTAGGGACAGAGCCAGACATCTCATGAAAAATTCATGGAGTTCTCTGGATTTATCACCCTGACCATCTCTGGCCATCATATTTTCTCAATTGACTATGTCAATAACATCTGAACTGAATGCAGTAATAAAAGCTTTAAATATTTTATATGACTATACAACAAATCTTACTTCCATTTATTTTCCATTTAGCTAATGGAAGATAAAACATTCAATAGTTATCAGTATTCTATGAACTTTAAATAAACCATTTCACTGGATAATGATTGATTTGTAGCACTGAATGTACCTTTACAAAGATAATTTTCACTCAGCACTAATTCTTCTCTGGATAATTATAAATATAAATTTACTCAACTTGGCTATTTAAGTTTATATATTTGTACTCATAAAGAACATTTGAAACTAATTGATTTTAGGACTAATGATTAATATAATGGCTTTGAAACAATTGTATAGAAAGACATTTTAATTGTATAGACTATTTTCTAAGTACAGCTCACATCACTTCTTGTGCTGATAGTTATCAATCATTACAACTGTACTTGAGTTCTTATACTGTATTTTTTTTTTTTGTTTTCATTAAATAAATACAGTGGATGATTGGCTAATGAACATAATCTGTTCCAAGACTTTGTTTGTTAACCGATTATCGATTTACCATAGATTTTTATGGGAATTTAATTAATTTGTTCTGGAAACTGCAAACAATAAAAAAATATAAACTTTCTCACTACGTTTATTTATATGTAATAATAAAAATACACATATATACAATCTTGCATTTTTATTAGTCATGTTTTTTCCGTTTGTGGGGGTTAAAGAATCTGTCCAATGTCGATTGCTTTTCTCTCTTCAGGATTTTTCAGATGCAATTAATAGCATTGTAATTGTAGAGATCCCCAAGTCTATTAACCTCAATCTGGTTTGGATGCCATTCTAAGACCGTTGTTCTGACATCCTCCCACTTCTTCGAAAGATCTTTAATAGCAGATATTGGCATTAATCCTTTTTTCAGAAGAAAACATATCTCGCAGAGTTTCTTGGTGTTCTTCAATCAAGAGTTCTTGGCGTTCTTCTGTCATCAGATCAGTTTCAAGTTCAGTCATGAGCTCTTCAATGTTCTTTATTTCTCAGATGTAATTTTTTTACTCCTTTAGCTTTTTAAGTCTTCTTGATTATACTGTATCTTTCTTAGATAAGATTGAACTGCAGCCTACTGTAGACCTGTTTAAGCCATACTGCCCAGAAACATCAGACATTGCACCTTTCAAAAATAAAAACCAATGCAAAACTTAACGAGTGCCCGCCCGACAGTCTTGGGAATACTATAAAAAAATCCATTTTGTCAGAAAAATAAAAGGCTAGAATTACAAGGAAGAGTTTCAAAGTTTGGAGGAATACTATCCAATCAGTATATACCCAGTTGAGCATCGATGTCAACGTCTCCCATGCTCCGAAAAGTTTTGAGTTGTTGCCTGAAGACAAGGGAAGACCAATCGGTATTCATTATTTTATGTCACTTCTTGTGTTTGTTCTGTGAGGTGTTTGTTGTCCAAACATAAAAATTTTTTGTGAAAGTGTTTGTTATCCGATTTGCTCATTAACCAATCACCCACTGTACTTACATATTTACTTGCTTATAAGATGAGGTGTGAGTTTAAAGACTTAAAATAAATAAAATTAGATTTATTAATACAATTCTAATTTTATTTCATTTAATTACAAGTAAAATATCAAATGCACGTAAATGAACACATTGTCTCACAAAAATTACTGGCATTTTAAACTTTAAGGAAAAATCCTATAAAATCGACAACATAATTTGTTCATGTAAAGTTGGACAATCAAGATCCTTTTTTTGCCAATTCTTAATAGTTGAATCCACTCACCGTCGATTACACTTATGAGTTTCTCCAAATTCTGATTTCCAAGTAATCATCTGTTTTAATGTGGGAATGAATTAAAACTTATAATCAGGCTCCTGTGTAATTTTGGAATTCAATTGAAAAGCTTTGCTTTTCCTATTGCTATTCATCTTTACTCCTGACAATATACAAGAACGATTCAAACGACCCAGACAAAATACTTATGTTTTTAAATACAAGAGGGTAAGCATCTGATAAAAAATGCAAATACACGGTTCACAAAAATTATTTGCAAAAATGCAAAGAATCTTTCGCTCGCATGTATAGGAAAACCTAGGAATTTGAAGCTGTGGTAAATGAATAAATACTTTGTCTTATATGCGAGTAAATATGGTATTTGCAAAAAATTATTATTTAATATAAAAGATTAGATAATGAAAATTGTTACCTTGGTAGGGCTTCATTGTCCCAATCTTTTGTCCATATTGTGCCATCACTATAAGCTTTGGTTACTTTTCCTTTAAGAATAATTTCAACTTGATCTTTATCCAAATCAGTCTTGCATTTTTCAAATGCACGTTTCATGTATTCACTGAAAAATACAGTTTTTTAATCTAACAAAGATAAGTTTATTTTTATTGTCAAGAAAGTACCAATGACTAACGAATGCTTTTCTGGTAAACCCATTTTAATATCTGTTATTCATAGTGTTTTATTGTGAAAGTATGTCTTTTATTATTGTATTTATTATTAATAAAACTTAAATAATTAGGTTTGTTAATAAGAAGTTTGCTTACTGTACTACTATAGTTTCCTTGATCTTTTTAATCGAGAAAGATATCTTATAGGTATCAATGTTAAAAATTTATTTAAATATAATACACATCACATATATTTAATTTCCAATTATTAACATGCAATTATTTATTGTGGCATAGTTTTTTTTTGACAGGCTGCAATTTTTAATCATATTCTTAAGTTATTCAATATAAAACATGTTCTCCATCTCAAATTTGTAGTGTCTTGCTACTGTACATCATAGTTTTCCTGATAACAGAAGAATCATGCCAGTCAACTATGTAACTCCATTCAGGGAATATTTTTTAATTGAATTCATGTGACTTCCAGCCTAAAGTGGAAGTTTGTATATAGTTAACCAGAGCCTCCTGCCTCGAAGCTTTCCATTTCTGGTCTTGACTTTTATTTATCTAATACTATTCTTGAGATTAAGGAAGGACAGACAAACTGACAAAGAGATGATAGTGGGAATTAATAAGTCTACAATATTTTTAAATTGCAGTTCAATAAATAATTGGCAGTAAGTTCTGAGGTTTTTTAAAATTTAAATGATATGTAATAATTTACTATTTTATAATTCTTTTATCCTGTGCATGAAACTTGTAACCTGTATTTTGTCAAATTAATAAGTCAGACAACTGTCTATTGGTTTTACAGAAAAACATGTTTAATTCAGAAGTATTTTTGACAGTATAAAACTGTCCTCTTCATGCAAAATGGAGAACAGAACATTAGAATTATAGAGATAAAACATTTTCAAATTGGTTCTCATGCACAAGTGTGGAATATACATTACAAAAAACATGATAAATAGTGTGTCCCAAAAATATAGATAATCTATATGTTTTTATTTTTTTTTTTTAACCCTAGATAACTAAACTTAATTCTCAGTTACATTATAACTACACATTTGCCAAGCAGACTACATATTACAAAATGTTAATATCAACAAAATTGTTTAATAAAAATTGGAACTTGTTACATGGCACAATAGTATGGGTAAGTAGGAACTAAATAAGAACAAAATATTTAGGAAATAAGATTACACACAGTTGCTACATATGTCCACATTATGGGGCTGCAAATTGCATTCTTCCCTTTCATGCAACAGCGTTTTGTCATTCATCGAGCTTTTGATGGACATAAATAGCATATTTTATGCAGATTCAACGCAGAATGAGTAGGAGCTTCTACACTGGGCACATCATCTAGAATATCCTGTATTATGGTTCTGATATCATGCCTTAAAGTCACCGTCTGTAACCACTGTCATAGCCAGGACTCCATGTGTTGGTCTCCCATCTTCATAAAAAAATCTCGACGAGACATCATTTTTTTTTGTTTCTAACGTTATTAGAGACATAGATAGCATATCTGTATATTGCCAATAGGTTTAGCATATTATAAAACATGCATAGTGGCCACCTTTTTGTTTTTTTGTTAATACTCATATTTGAACACATTTGTTCTACTGAATCTATTATTTGAGTTCTTTGCCTCTTACTAGGTCGTATGCGATCATTGTCAGATTCCAAGGAGCTACTCAGAGAATCATAATTGCTGCTAGTGTGCCAGTGTATTTCCTCCTCTAAATTATCCTCAACCTTCAAAAATGAGTCATCAGATTCCTCCCCATACTTGTCTTCCATTTCTGAATTAATCCATTGCCTTATCTGCTCCTCTTGAATCCTCAAATCCATTTAAAAATAAGAAATATACAATATGAGAATAATAAAAATATGTGCAGTATAACAAAAATGAAAAAAAGATGATCATTGTATCAAAAGTACACATTATGTTGCCAGTCTTCAATTATTTCATTAGACATATATTCAAATACACAATTTATCCTGAATATGAAAAAAACATTCTGTATCAACCTATAAAACAATAAAAATAAAAAAAATGTAATGTACAGTACATACCTTTGCAACAAAGTTACATAGCAATTAAACTTTCATCGAGCGGACTACTGTAAGTCAATTTCTAATTGACATGTGAACACAATTGCATCACACACTGCACTGTTTATTCAAATTATTAAGGTAGAAAAAGAATGACAGGCAGGGGGCACGGGAAAGTTTGTGAACTTCACTTTTGAGCAAAGGTGGGTCGTCACATGGATGAATGATTAGTTATCTAGGGTTAAATACTAAGTACAGTAGACCCCCCTATAAAACGGGTTCCTATAATTACGATACCTATAAGACAGCGAAAAAATTTCGATGGTATCCGTAAAAAACGGTAAAAAAACTCCTATAATTACGTAAAACGTCATTGGGCAGCCGAACTACTTTCCACGCCGTCAAGCGCCACGCTATGGAGAGATTACTATTGTCTGTACAGTATTATATATAAATTAGGTAAGTAAGTCTAATACAGTACTGTAATTTTATACATTTCTTTTGAAAGAAACATTCCTTATTCAACGGCGATAAAAATTATTTATATTAATGATGTCTCCAAAGTTCAGCGAAGTTTTCACAGAAAAATAACATCAGAAATCGCGGCCGTGGTTTGCTGAGTTGTTCCACGACGAAAACAAGCTTGAGCAATGGCGATGTCGAATGGTGCACACTCGGTAAGTAATCCTACAATTTTTTGTTTATAGCGTAGTTTATACGGATTATTTCCAAAAAACATATACGTATTTTGGAAATGTTGAGTTGGATTAGTCTAAAATCGATAATTTTATGGAAGAAAACCTTTCAAACAGCCGTAGTCCGTAAACTTCACACGAGTCGGGCTGTGATTGGAAGGACTCGTAAGAAATCAGATTCCTAAAGAATGGAACGTATCTATGATCTTATAAGGGGGTCGACTGTATTTTTTAACAATGAGAGTGGTTATAATTGTTTATTTATAACACAGTACAGTGTTATTTAATTGTCTTTAATCAGTGTAAAATGCTTGTTTTTAGCATAAATTTTTTGAGCAAAAATGCCCCACAAGTTCTCAATTGGATTTATGTTAGGCTTTTTGCTGGCTACTTAGTTGTTGAGTGTGAACAATGAATACTAGCATTGTCCTGTTGGAAAATCTAATCAGGTCCTCCAATTTCTTCTCCAATAGGCAATAAATTATTTTTTAGGATTTCTTGATAACTTTTAGATGTCTGTCTACTAGTTAAAATCACAAAATTGGATAAACCATTAAAAAAACCAATGCAGTCCCACACTGTAACAAAATCATCACCCTGTTGCCTGTTGAAAAACTGCACTCTTCTTTCCTAATATCATGCCAGTAATTAGGCTATCCAAATTAAATTTCTTTTCATCTCTGAAAAGGATTGAGAGCCATTGGTCATTGCACAGCATGTGACCTTTAGTCCACTGCATTCATTCTAATTTGTGTCATTTTGTTAGTGATGGTTAATTTCATCAAGACATCAAATTTCATACGTGGATCTACTTTTGATGAACAGTACTTTTTGATATTTTTAACAAAATTTCACAGAAAATTTAACAAACTGATTTATCCTGTTATGATGCAAGATGCACAATTCAATTATCATCCCTTTGAGATATGACTTTGGGCCTTCCTGATCAATGTTTAGAAGATATTGGTAATGATTTTTCCAAAATTTTATAAATTTCAGGAGTAGATCTGTTCATTAAAACAGCAATTTCCTTGACATTACAGCCTTCTGCTTTTAATGTCCATATTCATGCAATTTCTTCCATACTAAACTCTCTTCCATGTGGAATTTTGGAAAGTTTTGATTTACACATAAATTTGTGATAATTTGGTTGTAGAGATTAATTTTAATTAAATTTTGTAAAATTAATCAATAATTTAATGTAATATTTTAATGTTAAAAGTGACACATTTGTCATCCTTTTTGGAAAAGAGAAGAAAAACTTCCTTTTAAAGAGATAGTATCACCCATCTTCGACAAACATCTGTCATCTGAGTCAGGACAAATACCCCGTCAGGTGTTATAAATCCAGAAACCCAATTGGAGGGAATCTGAGATAAAAAAGAGGCCAAATTTACAATATCAGAGAGATGGCCCTAGAAGAAGATTCCTGTATAGCCAAAGCAGTCAGGCATTGAAGTCCTGTCTTGCTACTCTACAGATCTCCTCTGTCTCCATATCAAAAAGACCTCTCCATATTTTATATTATTTGGATTGCATCAACCAGAGGTATTCTTTTTATAGATTATTGTAAACTCTCTTTCATCCTTTAGAGGTGAATCCTGTTCATTTAGTTTATAGTTTATTTTGTTTTGTACTTGTATACTCAATATATCTATTAAATGCTATGTTTTTGTAAATGCTCCTGTCTACTCATTCAATTTATCCAGACCTTGATCAAACTTATCTGTGACTCCTCCCCGCTCGATAGAATATAGCCCTCCATTAACATCTAGATTGTAACATCACAAGTTAGGGTGCGAAACTTCTACCCTAGCTAGTGTCAGTCCTGACAGTCAAACAGATTGAGAGATCAGGACGACATTCTATATTTTAAGCCATCCTTTAATGAAGTGAACAAGACTAATAGTCCTGATGACTAGAGAGTTTCACACCCATCGTATTCTCACAAAGATGAGCATTGTAATTTACAACAGTAATCATTTCAATGTTTTTAAAAGTGAAGTTTTCACATTTGGAGGATAGGATGTCTTTATATAAGGAAAAGATTTTTCTATCTCAACCAAAACTAAGGTGGCATGTTTCATTTTTACTCTGAATTCTAGTTCAGTGCAATCCAAAATATTTTTCAAATTGGAATTTTTTGATAAACTAGATCTGAGTTTGTCCAGGGCTAAACCATCCAGTACATCAAG